GACAGGTATCCATAACCGGCCAATTTACACATAATAACGTTTTCTCAGAATTTCAGTACCACTGGATCTTTATCAGACTTGGCTGTCAAGGTTCAGCCAATACAGAATGCTGGGGAATGTTGCATATCTCGCCATGTACCCTCCTGGACGTTATCTTACTTTCTTTTTTGTTTTCTTCTTTATTCTTCTCTCACACAATACATCACAACCACAGCCTCGCCTCCCTCCTCTCATTCCTGTCACTCTCCCTCCTCCCTAGGATTCACTGCTCCCCTGTTGCCCTTCAGAAGAAGCAGGCGTTTTCACCACCTCCCTACAGTGGCAAGCTGGGAAATAAGGATTCCCTACATGGGGTTTTGGAGGGCGTGCAACATCCAAGCTGCACCACTGTACTCACATTTTACGTCGTTGTACGATATTCTTATTTTCTTTTACTCTTATATATTCAAATAGTTTCTGATGTCGTGGTCATTGCTTTACAAGGCCAGTGATTGTTTACCACACTTCTTAAAAGTTTAAACCTTTAAGTTCAAAACCCTTTAACAGATTTCATAGTGAAAGTGCATTGGTCTTGTCTGAAAATATTATGTACTTTAATTAAAATCTACATTGGCAGTTATCGTCCCTTGGCTCTTTGAAGTCGCTCACGCATTGTCTCAGGCTTCACTGTTACTATGGAGATGTCTGATCTTCCCGGTGTCATTCCACGGAGAGGTAATCTGACCTTTTGAAGATCTCAAGATTCTTTGCTACCCTCTTCTATAATTTTACTCCCGTGTCTAGTGATACACTTTATTATAGACACACAACTCCATTTAAAGACGTCAGAAATTACTTCTTTGAACATTATCTCTTAACAGGCTCCCTGTTCTTTACTTTCTAGGCCTTCAATTGGACTTTTCATCTTTCGTCTGATTTTGATTTTGTCTTTCTTTCCGTCTTCCAGCTTCTTGATCATTTGCACTGTATTTGGGAACATTCCTGCAGACCTTTTGATTCATAATTTTTTTTTTTGTTAAGATGTGTTTCATATGCTCTTTATCTTACCACTGAGTTTTGGATGTCAGTAACTAAAATTTACATTTCTATAATTTTTTAAAATACTCCATCTAGACTTTTTTTTTTTTTTTTTTTTTTTTTTTTTTTTTGAGACAGGATCTCACTGCGTAGCTCTGGCTGGCTCGGAACTCCCTATACAGACCAGGCTGACCTCAAACTCAGAGATCTACCTGCCTCTACTCCTTAAGTGTTGAGATTAAAGTTGTGTACCCCCATGCCTGGCTATCTGGACCTTCTTGACAGTGCCTTTTATTTACTCTCACACTTTCTTTCCAGTATTTAAAAAAATCAATAAATATTTTAGCCACAGTTAAAAAATACTGACTACTCTAATAATGTTAACTACCAGGGTTCTATTTGTGTTGCACATATTTTTTTTTATACTGGACCTTGTTCATGATGGCTTGTTTTCATATATTGGTTTCAGTTTGGGGGTTGTAAACTGCTTGATAGGGCTTTATCTCTGATGCCGGAGGACTCTTTAACACAATTCTCCCTTGAAAGGGTGCACTTGCTTCTTTCCAGTTACTGCAACACATCTGGTATTATACTGCTACTGTTTTGATGTTTCCTAGGTCATGAAAATTCTAAATCTGTATGCAGACACAAGAAAATATCAATGAAAACCACAGCACACTTGAAAAGGATCATCAAATGGGCACATCCTCTTTTTCTGTTGTTTACGCTTTTCTTTTAGTTTGCCATTTCAAGAAGAATGTTGCATTTCAAACTTTCTTATCTTAAAGGAGAGCTTTACTTTGAGCATGGGCGTTAGCAAGGCTCTGTATGGATGAAGGCGATATCTTGTACCCTTGTCTGTTAAAACTCATGATTATGTAACTGAGCTTAATGCCTTCATGATAGCAGTGGGTTAAGTACCACCTCAATAAAACCAGCTTTCAGTTCCTTACTTGGATGTCCCACAAGTATACGATATATTTTTGAGAGGTAAATTATACATCTTGAGTAGTTTTACAGAAATATTTCATCCAGTACTTATTGGTAATTGTGTGTACCTGTGTTCATGTGTGTAGACATATGCACAGAGGCCAGAAGTTGATAATACATGTCTTCCTTCGTTCCCCCCCCCCCCCTTTATCATTTTGGAGTCTCTGGCTGAAACCCAAGCTTGCTGGATGACTGGCTAAAAGCTTAAGGAATCCACCTGCCTCCCCCCCTCCCTCCACAGCCAGCACTAGGGTTGTAGGTGCACACCCATACCTAGACTTTGTATGAAGATGCTGGCAATCTGCACTTACGTCACTTTACCGACCAGGCCATCAGTAAACAATACCAGTTCCTGTTTAGTTGCAGAATTATTATCTGCCATTAGATGGAATGCCGCTATACCCCTAGTGATAGGACTACAAGTGTGTGTCACCACTCTGTTTATGTGATACTGGGTAGGAACACGGGGTTTCATGCATGATAGGCAAACACTTTTACCAAGTGAACTACATTCCCAACCCTTGATTTTTTAAACTTTAAGATTTAGTCTACTCATTGGCAAAGAAGGATCCGTCTACTTCATTTCTTTTCTCATGTTCTCACATCTTCCATCTTATTTTCTTTTCATCGGCTGGGACAATGTATTAGGGGAGAAAGGCTACAACCCAAACCCACATAACTAATATGACTTAATAACATTCTTGAGTTATTAGCGTCTTGAGTTAGGAGGGTCAGCATCCACACAAGAGAATGGCAGGCAACTGGCAAGAACAGAAGCTACTGTTAAGGGCAGGGTGGATGTTATAGGATGCTTAACTTTATGAAGCATGTAGTTCTTTAAGACATTTTCATGTCTTGAAGACATGTTTCATTATACAGGACAAGCTTAGCAATGCAGTTACATAATAGACACTCAAAGATAAGGTGTCTTCTTCCTTTCTTGTTAGTCACAAGCATATTCCTTCAATAAGGTGATTTGATGGGAGATGTCACTTTGCAAATATGTTTTTCTTATTGGTTAATGAATAAAACACAGCTGGCAAATAGGAAGGCAAGATAGGTGGGACTAGGAGACAAGGAGGATTCTGGGAGATGTGGTAGAGAAGAATCGAAATATAGGACAAGAGGAGTAAGGGGTTATCATGTGGAACACGTAGATGAATAGAAGTGGGTTAATATTTAAGACAGAGCTAGCCAATAAGAAGCTCTAGCCATTGGCCAACAGCTTTATAACTAATAGAGTCTCTGTGTGTTATTTTGGGACTGATGTGGCTCTGGGAACAGGCTGGTTAGAAAGTGCTTCTAACAGTGATTTCTTTCATTTAAATCAAAGCTTATTTTGGATTTATCAAATCACTTGTAGTTACAGGTCATCTCTGTAAAGATCTGCATTGTAAGTCAATAGACCTCCGGAAAACCAAGACAATATACAATTAATGATATTAATGGGTGGCGGGATAAGGGATGGTGTAAGAGCCAAACTTCTCTTATAGCAAAAACAAAAACCATCAAGTTTTCTATTTATCATTTTGATTTCAGAGAGAACGTAAGAGTTTAAGTAAAATGGTGTATTTAATCAAGCCCCAGAATCGACTTTTTTAAAGGTGCGATATCAGAACTTATGTTAGAATCAAAGGTTGTAATAAATAACCAGCTATGTTTTTAATGGTTGTATCTGAAATAAGCCCTATAATAGATGGGTGGGTGTTTAAAGTTAAGATCAATGGATTAAAACTAATATGGTACAATAAACTACCAGCCAAAATATTAACCTACGCAGCATATAAATTTTAAGTGTATGCACTTCCTATTTATATCAACAAACATTCCTTATTGTGACCAGTGATATTTTAAGAGTTTTATTTAACCCATTTCTTGCAACGTCTCCCCTTTATTTAAGTTGTTACTAGCTTCATCTATATTCCTAGGTGTCACTCTTAAAACTTACAAAAACCCACCGTTAGGCAGACAAATGACACTCTAGATGAAGAATACCTATGAAAATATTCTAGCAACTTTTAGTATTTGCAAAGAATGGAGATCTCTTTGAGAATGGTATAGTGTGTAAAAGACTGGCCCTACAGTAGGCAGGACTCAACACAGATTTGCATTTCTACATCCAGGAACCCATTAAGTATGTCTTTGACATGTCAGAGAGGCCTTTTCTGATGCAGTTAAGAACGGGGAGCTGGAAATGAGATTATTCTGGTGAGCTCCAAAAATCCGCTCTCTTTTTAGCCAGCTGTAGAAGGCTTAAAAAAAAAAAAAAAAAAAAAAAAAAAAAAGCACCATCCAGGTCAAATCAAGTCAAGGAGTCGCGACTTCTTCCATCTTCTGGGAAGGAATGCAGCTTCTCTGACATTTGGATTTTAGCTTCAGGAGACCCGTACAGGAATCATGCGGGCTGCAAAGCCACAAGGCAGACTGGTGTTGTCCCAACTCATTGATGCATGCAGTTCTAAACAAAGAAATAAAGGCTCCACCAGGCCAGAGGCTGACTGACTGCAGCTAAATCGACGACACACTGGGCAGTACACGAACTCTCTCAAGTGCAAGAACACGTCCCGGCTTCATCAGCATCAGGCGCTCGTGCTCATGCGCGGTTCCCGATGCTGGAGACGCTAACCGGCCGCTCACAGCGTCCTTTTCCCGCTCTTGGAGGACGCCACGCGCCTCGAGCCTCAGCAAATAAAATAAAGTTCGAAGTCAGCGAGCAATAAACAGCAAACCTCGCGATCTTTGGAGGCGTCGGCTGGCTGCGCGAGCCCCGCTGCTCCGGGAATGGAGACGGCGCGGGCAGACTGACTGATCCATCTTCTCGCGAGATCTGAAGGGAGGCGAGACGTCGGGGATTGGGGGGGGCGGCCGTTCTCGCGAGACTTGCAGGCTGCGGCTGAGGCGGGCCGGTGTGGGCTGCGGTGACCCCGCGCCAGGCCCGAGGCTCGGCGCTGCCGGGTGGGCGGGCGCCGCCGCTGGGTGCCGAGAGCGGCGGGGCTGCCGGGCGCCTCCTCCCTGCCCCGATGGACGCCTCCTCCTCCCCGCAGCCCCGCGCGGGGCTCCGCAAAGGTATGAGCTCCGAGCTCGCGCCTCTGCGCAGACACACGTCCCGAAGGCACTTCCGGAAGCGGCTTCCGCCTGCCCCCTTTGATTGACAGCTGACGGGTTGGAACCCCCGTTCATCGCTGCAGCAGCAGCAGCAGCTGCCGGGCTTTGCCATTCGGCGTTAGGAACGGGACTTTGTGCATCTGGTGCTGTCCCTTCCCTCACGGTTCCCGGCCGAGCAGTGGAGGCATAGGTGCCGCATGTGTGAAACGGGGACACTTGGGTGAGATGCGATGTAGTGAGCATCCAGTAAATGTCTTCGCGTTCGTTTTCCGCCTTCGTATTCCCCAGTTGTTAATGAGTAGCAGGGATTCGTTAAAGTAGACGAGCGAAGGCTTATTTAGTCCAGTTTAGGTTTGTTGCACAAAGAGATTGCTGCATGGTGTTCTTGGAGCAGAGTTCTGCCTCTAGCAGGTCTCCAACGATATAAGAAGGCATTGGTTAGCTCCTAAGTCATCAGGATGCAGGCTTGCCCCCTAGCTTTTATTAATAATAGAGATTGCTATAACAACAACAACGACAAAAACGTACCTTGAGCATGTCTGTGTGTGCGCGTGCACCATGCAGATGGAAGTTCGGGGACAGTTTGGACGAATCTGTTCTCTCCTTCCACCTTGTGAGTTGTGGGGATGAAACCCAGGCTGCCAGTGTTAGCGGCAAGTTGGTTCACAGGTGGAACATCCTACACGACATACCAGAACAGATGTACGACTGAGTATTTTGTGCCCAGTAATCTTCTGATTCACCTTTGCTTTTTCCTTTGAGAAAGGTATCTCATGAAAACAAGGAGGGATTCAGTGCTAATCTCAGAGTAGGCAACAACTTCGAACTCTCAGGGCTGAAAATTGATAATGTCATAAATAAGGACCCACAAGTACAAATAAATGCCTTTGTGAGGCTGGCTGGTAAAGACAAATACGATCTTCTAAGCGGAGATTACGAGACTGCTGTGCTTATTCCTCGGTTGAATCTGGTGGAATATTCTGTCACTGGTATTTTAGGGGGAAAGTACCCATGAAAACGACAAGCCACTCAAAGGCTGAGGCGGGAGCATGTTTTCCACGTTAGAAGCAAACAAGGAAGACACTTTGGGATTGAGGGAGGCACCCCCAGTCACTAAGCATTGTTGCCAGTACCACAGTGAGAAATGCTCCCAGCGTTAACATTTTCAGTTGCCGTAGCACCTGAATCATCCCTGACTCAAACTTCATCTATTTGTTTCTAGAAATTATCCAAACTCAGGTACGAAGGGCCCCATAAAATATATCCTTCCGGTGTTTACCGTTTAACCGAAAAACTTCTGGACTCCCTCCTCTGAAATATGCTTTCCATAGCACTTAGTTCTCTTCTTCCAAGTCATGTTTTGTCATTATGTTTAGTGACTGTCATCTCACTGGTCAATACTTTGTTTTCACTTACAAATTCAATTTGTTAGGTAATCTTTTGCGTGTTATAGTCCTGGTTTTATTTTTTCACTAGAAGGCTTATTATTCCAAGATATTTAGAATAATTAATAAATATTTAAGTCACTGATACAAAGTTTCTTCAACAATAAGTCAAGCCACAGGACATGGTATTAAAAACAGTACAACTGAACACTCAAATAAATGGCATAAGGTAGGAGGTATACAAGAGAAGGGGATGGAGAAATAATATATGGAACAATAAGCTTTTGCTCCTTAATGTTTTAGGCATCGTTCATGTCTACATTTACTTATTTATTGACACTCCCCCCAGGGAATTGTCTCTAGTGGAAGAAACAGACAAAAACAAGTAAACATAAACATGGTGTAAATGCCCAGTAGCAATGAAATACTGAGGTAGAATGCTGGGATGCCTACTAAGTGAAGTAGACCAGAGGTAGAGGTTGTCAGTGATTCAGGGTAAAGTGATGGTGGCGGGTATTAAGGGAAAAGTCATCAAACTACTTACTATCTATGGGCCAAATCAAAAGTGACACTGCCTTTAAAAAAAAAAAAGTTTTATTAGGACACACCCATGCCCATTTAGTTATTGTCTGTGACTGCTTTTTCTTAAAAGAGTAAAAATTTTGTTTCCTAAAATATAATTTAACAAATAACTAATAGTTGACTATAGAAAAGGTTTTCCAGCTCTTTCTTTCCAGAGATGTTGACAAAAAGAAGTGATTTTTGTTTTTGAGGGGTGTGTGCGTGTTTGTGTATGTGTGTGTGTGTGTGTGTGTGTGTGTGTGTGTGTGTGTGTGTGTCTGTCTGTCTGTCTGTCTCTGTGTGTGTCTGTGTAGCCCTGGCTGTTCTGAAACTAGCTTTATAGCTCTGTAGACCAGACTAGCCTTGAACTCAGTGAACTAAGAGATTCTCCTGCCTCTGCCTCCTGAATGCTTGGGTTCCTGATTGTAAAGTGTTTTTTAAGGAACACCAGAAAAGTTCTGGTGGTAGATGGCATGTGTGAGTAATATAAAAAGAGGTATAAGGGATAGTGGTTTTCTGCCTTGAAAATTGTAAATGATCCCAATTAATAAGATACAGGGAAACTACTCACTACCATTTTTTGTCGTTGTTCTTTATTTTATAGCTATTATGTGGTACAGTGTCTGATAAACAATTGATGTTTAACTCATGCATGTTGAGTGTCAAATTAAGGAATTAGGTTTTAAAAATGAGGGGATACTTCCTAGGTAAGGAGATGCATCATTTAAAACAGAAATACTGTGTTAGGAACTGCTGTAGTGGCATCATTAGCTCAGGCTCAGCCAGCACTGTCCCAGAAAGAAGACACCTTGACCTGCACATCCTCTTTACGTATACAGTTAAGTAGGTTATTAATTTTATGATAGTATAACAGTTCTCAGTTTGGATCTAAAAAAATAGAGTGGGAGAGCTTGCTTTTCATGTGTACTTAGGGTTCCTAAAGCTATCTATCTCAGCCAAGGTAGTGGGAGTAATGCTTTTGAGGAATAGTCAATAGATGAAGACTTAAGACAGCATACATCTATCATTATAGCCAAAAATGTTAGGAAGTTCTAACTGGAACTCCCAGGAAGACCCTAGGAAACCACTAGTGTGGTCTTGTAGAATCAGGGAGGAGTGTGTAAGAAAAATAATCTCCAATATCCTTACGTTACAGCTGTATATTTCTTGGATCCTTGCAATGAGGAATTACATTTGGAAAGTTCTTTTTACTTAGTGTTCTCCATTTAGTACCCTTTAAATTGCTTAATAGTATATTCTGGGAAGCCCCTCCCCTACTCATAGTTGCTGTCTTCAGAAAAGAAAATACAACAAATGCGTAAGCTCAGACATATAGAAATCAGAATCTTCAGTGAATGATAGGACCTTACAAAGAACTCATAACTTACCTTTAGCTCTCTCTTTTTAAAGACTTATGTATATGAGTGTTTTGCCTACATATTTATGTGCTCCACATATATGCCTGATGCCCAGGGAAATCAGAAGAGGGTGTTGGACAACTTAGACCTGATGCTATGGGTGGTTGTGAACCACCACGTGAATACTGGGAATTGAACCCTGGTGCTCTGCAAGAGCTTCAGATGCTCTCCAGAGTCATCTCTCCAGCACCAAGAACTCATCTCTTAGAATGTAATCAAAACCCAGAAGGGATCAGCTGTAATGGTTTTGACATCATTGTTGTTAAACAAGAAGCTCTCTCTCCAGAGAAGGTTGGAGTAAATATAGAAAGCACATGTCACAAAAGAGTTGCTTCCCTGAAGATTACTGTGTATTTTTCTCCTACCGTATCACAGCAGGAGAATGTGTATAATGTCCATGAGTCAGCAAGAATATTTAAGTCAGTGGATGTCACCTCTGGTTGTTCTTCAGGATCAATTTTAAATCCAACAATAACAGTCAAACAAATAATGAAACCAAATGTCTGTGGGCCACATCCATTACTTGAATTACCAGAGGTTGTAACCTAGCATTATTTCTTTAAACCTCAGAGGAGGTAATGACACACAGCCAGAATGAGAGGTACAGAAAATAGGTTATACTGGTGGTTATAGGAAACATCTGATAATATATTTTAGAAAAATGTTTAGAAATATATTTAGAAAAATGAAAATAAATGTTTATTTTGTTTCAGTTATTTGGAAAATTAGGTTTTTGTTTTTTTTCTCAGTAGGTAAGTGGCTTCATAAGCTTTTTGAAAAGTTAATTTTCTTCCTTATTATAGACGGTTGGTGTCCAGGAGAACGATGTCTTGCTCCTTCTTCAGATAATATGAAGCTTTGTGAAGCAAGCATAAAGTCTATCACTGTGGATGAAAATGGGGAGCCGTGTGCAGTTGTCCTGTATCCAGATTTTCAAGAAAAGAAAGTACCTCTTCAAAGACTTCAAGAAGTAAAATCAACGAAAGATTGCTCCAGAAGTTTTATATTTGATGATGAAGATTTAGAAAAGCCTTATTTCCCAGATCGAAAGATTCCTTCATTGGCTGATGCTTTTAAATTATCTGAAGATGGAGACTCCATTCCTTACACCATTAATAGATACTTGCGAGATTACCAACGAGAAGGAGCTCAGTTTCTCTACAGACACTACATCCAGGGAAGAGGATGCATTCTTGGTGATGACATGGGACTTGGAAAAACAATACAGGTATTTATGTTAATTACTTTATAATTAAAAATTAGCTCATCCTGTGTATAAGAGGAGTGCATATACTATGCAAATCTCTATTTGTAATAGCACCTGTTACTATAGGTTTTTTTTAATATTTCCATCTTTATGTGGCTTATTTATTATTAATGTTCTATTTCTTTTATATATATATTTTTTTTTTCTTACTTTACATATCGATCCCAGTTCCCTCTCACTCCCTTCCTCCCATCCCCCCACCCCCTCCCAAGGTTTTTGTTTGCTCAGCTCTTGTGTGTGCTATCACAGTTTCTGAGTCATCGTCCCTGTTATACCTAGAATATTCAATTTCCTTGGAGTTGTTCCTAACTTCTGGCTTTTTCAGTCTTTCCTTTTCCTCTTCTGCATAGACCTGAGCCTTGAGGGGCAGAGTGTGATGAAGACATCCATTTAGTGCTAAGAGCTTCCAGGTTTCTCACACTGCATCAGCACTTCCTTTAAGCAAGCAAAAATCTTTCAAAAGTGTGATTCTGAAGAAAAATAAGGATGTGGTTATCTCTTCCTTTTGTCTTAGGAAAAACACTTTTTTTTTTTTTTTTTTTTTTTTGGTTAGGCCTTTGGTTTGAATGTTTGAACTGTTTCCCTGTTTGAAGGAGGTGACTGCAGGTGAGGAAGGATGACCTATAAAAATCTTCACTCTAAATTTGTCATAGATCTGTAAATTCAGATTTGTATAGACCTGTACGGTGCCAGTGAATTGCGGTAGAGCAGACCTGACCTCCAAATGTCCATGTTTCCTTTGCTATGGAGGTAGCCCAAGTAAAGGGTTTCTCTAATCTAAGTGTAGCTTTTGACAGACTTAGGCCAGTAAAAATAGCATAGATACGATGAGTGCCGTTTCGGCCCTGGTCCGTGAACCACCTGTGTGATTCTTCACATCCTCCTTTTCCCTTCTGGACATTTGCGCATTATAGCTAACATTACTTTGATTAAGATAACAAGCTGAGATATTTCATGGTTTTAATTTCCCCTGTTCACTTAGGGTATATTCTCAGCTAAAACACAAGTTTATTTTTATTCTAACGTCCCTTTTTGGGTGGGAGTGAAAGAAGCAGCGAAGTTAGAAGTTAGTGTATATTATTATTATCATCATCGCTAGCATAGTTAATGAATTAAGTAAAGCGAATTTCTAATTGGACGTTAACATTTTATTTTCAAAGGTCTGAGTGTGTGTGTGTGCGTGTGTGTGTGTGTGTGTGTCTAATTGGTTGACTGTTTCTTGCTGCTGATTGTGTGGGGCTATACATGCTTTTTATTATTTTTATTCTTCTCATTTAATTTTTGGAGAATAGCTGCTATTCAAAATGGTATGTGTATTGGTGAGTTGTGTTAGCCTATCTTAAATAGCATTCTGTCATTCATTAGATAAACAAAGGCACAAAGTTATGAGGCAAATACTTCCTCCTTTAAGGAATTTTTTTTTCTACAAGAAAAGAAAAATGTATAGTTTATTTTAGAGACTTTGAAAAGATAGTATCCATGGATAGAAGCAAATAGTAAGGTAGTATCTCAGATGATGGAATTAAGGAAGAATTCATCAAGTGGGCAGAATTGTTCCAAGATGAGATAGGCATGTGGAATTTTATGTGTTCAAAGGTAGTATTATCATAGTTTGCTTGTTAATGCAAAGGAAGTACCAATATTTTTGTGTTTTCTCTAAGATCTCTTTGTAGTCTACTGATTAGTTTGTGGAATATACAGTGAAATTATGCATAGTGATAGAAAAAGTCTTTTATCTTCCAGGTTATTTCATTTCTGGCTGCAGTTTTGCGTAAAAAAGGAACTCGTGAAGATATTGAAAATAACATGCCAGAGTTCTTACTAAAAAGCATGAAAAAGGAACCTTCTTCTACAGCCCAAAAGGTGAAATATCTAGAAGTATTCAGCTTATAAAGTTGACATTGCAAATACAGAAGTGTTTAAACACAATATAGTGCGTTATGCATTTTAAAACAGGAATGCAGACATTAAGCTGTTTATTTCACAAGACTGTTTTTGGAAGGTTGCCAGTTCTATCTGCTAGTAGCATGAGGTTATATCTCAGTCTTTCCTGTCCACATAGGAGTCAGGCCTGACTCTGCTGAGGTCAGACATGACTGGGCATGTTCAGGGTGGAGTGGTTGTAGACAGCATAAGAGATTTGTAATGACACAATAAAATTACTAGAAGTGTCATGCTTATGGTCTTTGTGTGTATGCATGTGTACACGCACAAGTGTGTATATGCTTTTGAGGGTCAGAGGTCGATGTCTGGTGTCTTCTCTCCTCACGTTAGTTTTTGCGTCAGGGTGTCTTAAAGAACCTGGAGCTTGCCTTTCCTTCTAGACTACCCGGCCAGCAAGCCCCAGGAGCCCTCTTGTTTCTGCCTTCCCAGTGCTGGATCTGTAGGTGTTCACTGCCACCCAGCCTTTCTAAAACAGGGGTGGGATTGAACTCAGACCGTCATGCTTGCACAGCAAGTACTTTAGCAACCAAGTCATCTCTTCAGCCCCCTGTGTGCTTTTATGTTGTCCTTAGTGTTTGGAGAATGGATAGGAATAAAGATGGAGTGTTTGATGAAAACAATTACTATTTTATTAAGGCAACGAAGTTCCTCAAGTTCTAAGATGGAGTTTCTTCTATAAGATTTTATAAATCTTATTCACAAGATGGTTTACGCCAGTATCCTCAGAAGGGTTATATTATATAAAATTTGAGAAGTGCTGACTTGTGGTATTTTTGTTACTACTTAATTACCTTACTCTTTTAACAGCATTCCAGCATGTGCTATGATACAAAGCTGCCTCAGTTGGCACTGGTGTCTTCATTTATCCTTTCCTTCCTGCCTTTGTGTATCTGTGCATATGTATTTAAATCCTTTGCCACAGCATACACCACTTTTACTAGGTCTCCTTTAGCTGGAATTTTATTAATTTGTGTCGTCTTCTGTTCAGATAAACCCCATTAATGTGTAGGTGTCCCCTTGAGCAGTGATGTTTGTCCTGCTCCCATTTCACAAGTAATAGTGTTTTCATTAGTCTTCTCTAAATTGTCTGTGAGTCTAACTTTGTTCTCTTTACCCAAGTAAAGAGAAGTCCTAAAACTTCCAGATGAGTATAGTATTTGGTACAGAGTGACAGAAGAGCTTAGTTCTGTGTGTTTTTCTTATAGGATAACATAGCCATAATGTTTCCTTTGTGAAGTATTTTTAATGTTTTGATGTTGTATTTTGTATAGTCTATTATTTGGAAATACCCACTTGTGTTTTATACTCTTTGTTATTATGGCCACATAGTTCTGTGTTTTCTGTTTAACCAACCTTGATTGCCTTCTTAAAAGCCTTCATGCCATAGTTGAGGCAAATTAGAAAGACAAGGATCCTCTTGACTGCCAAGTGTCAAGAATTCCAGCACAATTAGCAGATTTGCTGTGAGATTTTCCTGTATACAAACAACAGAGCCATTTCAAATTGAATACTAAGATAAGGAATTGCAAGTTTTTGAGATGTTCCCTAGACTATGAACTTCGTTTACAGGAAAAGCCTATGTTTTCATTACCTAGTGACCCAATATATTGGGGATTCCTTCAACAAAATTTGTCACCTGTAAACCTGCCCAATGTATCTCAAGGAAACAACTTATGATCCCATTTACTGAAAAATGATTATCGAGGGAAGGTCAATAGAAATTATTTAACAAAGGAACCTCATAGCAGCCTAAAGAATTTATATGGCTACTGTTAAAACACTTAAGCTCAGCTCTCTTGACAAGCACATCTGTCTGTGGATATGAACTGCCTTTTCCTGAAGTCCTTTTTCTATATTAAAATTATGCTTGACTCTAAGCTAAAATCTTTTTTTAATAAAGTCCAACTCTGCTTTGTATTTTCTCATCCTGAAACTTTTCTGCCGTGTAGTCAAGACTCTTGACTTCTCTTGAGTGACAGTCTCTAAAAAAAGAACACAGGCTTGGACCAGATGTGTCTTCTGATTCTAATACAATTTTCCTGTTTATTTGAACAACTGAGTTCTAAGGAATCTATATTAAATTTTCTGTAATCACTGGGGTTGTTGTTGATCTTGTGTTTGTGTTGGCTTTTGCTAATTTCTTTAATATCGGTTTCATAAATTTTGTTTGTATGTTGGTTATATACTCAGTTAACAGGTTATTTGCTGACTTCTAGGTTCGAAATTTATCTTCTGACTTGACCTAACTAATTTTATTATCTACTGTCATTGCATATTTTAGATGATGATTCAATGCTGAACTGATTTTTTTCTGCATTGAAGGAAATTTCTTTTTGTTGAATTACGTAACGTAGAATTCCTTCTTTGAAATCCCAAAACAAAACCCTAATATTTACCGTAGAATTCTTTCAGATAAGTTCACCTTTGAAAAAATGTGTTCGGGGTTAGAGAGAGGGCTCAGCAGTTAGGAGCATTTACTGCTCTTGTAGAGGGCCAGCGCTGGCTCCCTAGCATCCACAACTCAAAGCCATTTTACCTCCAGTTCTAGGGGATCATACACTTCTAGTCTGTGCAGGTTCCTGCATGCATGTGGTGCTCATGTGTGCTATGCACACACACACATAAAATTAGTAAATACATATTTTTGAAATTGTAATATAATAGTAATTTTTCGTAGGGGAAGCTAAGTAGTGATTCCACAGTAAGCATTCTGATAAAGACTGATACCACCTGTCTTTCGTAAAGGGCATTACCTTTATTGGCCTGGTCCTTCTAACTGCTTCAGTTTGTCTGATGGGTTCTGTTACTGCTTAATGGCTGTTTATTTGATGCTCTCTCTTTCATGGCCTTCTCAGTTCTGCTGAGGGGTGGGGAGTGTGTACCCATTGCCATCTTCCCGAACTGTTCTACTCTACTGGGAGATCCCTTCCAGGCATCATAGCACTATTACAGATTGTTTTCATATTTGTTCCTCATTTTTTTTTTTTTTTTTTTTGCATTGGGACATATATGTTTTCAGAGAGTCCATTTGAAGTAGCTTATATTTTTAAGAGATGTTTTGTCAAAAAGAGAATAAAATAAAGCTAATGCCAGAATTCAGCAACCCTGAAAAAGAAACACCCAGTGAATTAATTTAAGGAGTACTGTTTTGAACAAGGAGTATATGTATGTGTGAGAGATGATATTTTATATATATTTTAAAACTTGTCAGGTATGAATAAGACTTTGAGGAATGTGTGAAATAGAAGTGCCAATGGGAAGACACAAATCATGCATTTCAAGTGCTGATTCTTGGAATGAGTCATTACATTTGGGCTAAGTTTATGCTGTAGTTCATTTAGTCTTTTTATGAAATAAATCATAGTAAGTTAATTAAAAATATCTTGGAAGATCAAACTTTAGAGATTCTAAGAAAGAAATTTAACAGAAGGGAAGGGGGCTAGGGAGACAGCTTAGTGGGTAGAGTGCTTGCTGTGATGGTGACATGAGTTTGTACCCCCAGGACCTGTGTAAAAAGTGGGTTGTCTGTTTGCATCTCTGTCTGTGCTGGGAACAGAGACAGGCAGGTGCCGGGGCTTTTGCCTGCCCGTCAGCCCGGCCAAAATAACAGGTTCAGTGAGAGAGGTGGGGAACCAGAGAGGAAGACCTTCAAAGTCCCCCTCTGCCCTGCACATACGCGCACATACATGTGCACCACACAGAGAGAAAATTAAAATTGAAAAACGAGAGGAAGAATTTCCAATCAATTACAATACCTGTGTTAGAAAGGGTTTCAGTGGTATTGAGCAAAAGTACTTTTCAGCCATCTTGCTTTCCATTTACCACCTTTGAAACTCTTGTTTTACGGATGAAACAACTGGAAAGTTTCCGTTTCCTTTCTGTTACTGTGATAAAACACTCTGGTCAGATGTAGCTTGTGGCTGAGGGCGGGGGCGGGGGGTAGGGGGGGTTGTATTTGGCTTATACTTCCAGGTCATAGTGTGTCATTGAAGGGCAGGAACTCGCTGTGGGAACCTGGAGGCAGGAGCCCTGGGGGAGCACTGTTTGCACGCTCATTCTCTGACTTGCTCTCATGCTTAGCTACCTTTCTTGTACAACCGAGGATAGCTTGCCCAAGGATGATACAGCCCACAGTAGGCTAGGGTATTCCACATCCATTGAAAATGAAGACAGCTCCTCTCAGGCCAGTTTGATCAAGAAAACTCCTTGATTGAGACTTCTCAGGTGACTCTAGGCTATGTCAGATTGACAATTAAGACTAACCAGAACATAAACACCAGAACAGAAAAACAAGGAGCCACTGAATGTAATCAGATGTTGTTTTGAAGAACATCAACAGTTAATCTGTGGTCAGAGGTGGGAAGGCAGGGTGTGTGGGAATAAACACAGGTGAAGTTACTGGTAGAAACCCACATGGAGGCTCTTCTCTACTGCTTCAGTTTTCAGGGAGTTTCTCATACCTTCTACAGAGAGAATCTGAGAAGAAAGGAGCAGGAAGGAGAGGTGAATGGAGCCCCAGAGGATTGTGTTTGGAGGAAGATGCTACCCATTTGCTTTTCATGTTAACTCTTTAATTTATTGTTGATATACTGATTTTATTCTCTCTCTCTTCTTCAATGCCTTCAAGATTAGAAATGAAAATAACTACTCCTTTTAGTGGGTTATGTTTTATGGTTGTTATTGTTGTTCTAACCAAAAGCTAATTAAACAAGGAGTATTTTTGAGGATTTTTGTTGTTGTTGTTCACATGTAGCAAACCAGTCAGTCATATTAGTATTTACTTATAGCATCAAAATCAAAGAGCGGGACTATTGATACTGTGTATTTCATGTTGGAGTTCTTATTAAAAACATGGATGCTTTTCTTCCTGTTTTTAGATGTTCTTAATAGTTGCTCCTCTTTCTGTCCTCTACAACTGGAAGGATGAATTGGATACCTGGGGATATTTCAGGGTCACTGTTTTACATGGTAGCAAAAAGGACAACGGACTGCTTCGCTTAAAGCAGAGGAAATGTGAAATTGCCCTGACAACTTATGAAACTCTGCGCTTGTGTCTGGAGGACCTTAACAGGTAAAATCATGAGAGGTGCTGTCAGCGTGCTGCTGACGTCAGCCATACGCGTCCTTTATATCATGATGCAAAACTCAAACTCCTTTAGGTTGACTTCACGTCAGGGTTATAAAGCAGAGATTGTGATGACTGCCTCTGTCTGGAAAGGAGTCCCACCACTTCATATTCCATTCCTTAATCTCATAATAGGACTCCTTTCCAAACAGTGCTTTTTAAAGAATGTAAGGTTTGTTCTAAGTCCCATGCAGAACACTGTGTAAATGATGCCTCCCAGAGAATTGAAAGCCACTGGAGATATTTTGATCTGCACCTTACATGAGTAGCGTACCCTAACATAGTTCCACGGTAAATAGAAAAACCCCTGGTTGGTATGCTGAGCCACATTGATGGAGGAAAACCAAGTAAGAGGTTTGTTCTGAACTAACTTGTGTCAAAATCCCCAATTCACGTCCCAGCCTTAGGATGTAATTACATTTAAAGATGTGCTTAAATAAAAAGTGAGCTGTTTGGGTAGAGGTGTAAGTCAGCATAAATAAGGTATCCTTACTAGATAACAGACAAGTACCAAGAGCATATAAGTAGGGAAGGACATCTGGGTTATCCAGTATCCTTTCAGTGCTAAAATAATACGGTTTCAGTCAGTTTGAATCATAGTCAGTGAAAGAGAATAGCAGAAAAGTACCTTAAAGGTGATGCTTTCCAATCAGCTAAAATTCCTGCATGAGATGATAGTGAAAAACAAAACCAACAGTTCTCTTAGAGGTTTGAAAACACAGAATATATTCAAGAGTAAAACGTAGCTAGGTGAGGTGTTGCGTACCTGAGATCTCACCTACTCTGGAGGCTGGGGTGGGAGGAACGTGCATTTAAGGCTAGTGTGAACAAATACAGTGGGGCCTGTGCTCAAAATATCAATAACAAGAGAGTAAATCATCTCGTCTGGAAAATGGTAGGATGAATTGGATCTGTTTTTGCCAAAATGGACTATTCAGATACAGGTGGAAGGTTCTATTAGAATTAATGAGGTTCGGTTTATGTACAGTAATCAATACTGGTTTTTAAATGTAGCTAGCCTCCATTTCCATAAGTTCTCTCAGCCAACTGTAGATTAAAACATTAGCTAGAAAAATGTGTTTGTAACAAACTAATGGTTTCCTTAAACAATTCAGTGTAATATTTTTACATAGCACTTACATTGTGGAGGGTATTACACATTAACTGGAGGTTATTTGGAGAACACAGGATGGTAAAGGTTATACACAGATGCTGGGTCAGTTTATGTAAGACATTTGACCATCCACTTACTTTGCTTCCTGAACCAATCCACCAATCCACAGATAGTAAGGGGCATCTTATATAATCCAGTGAGTACTGATCTGGCATTGTTAGATTTTTTTGAGGCCACACGTAGTTTCTGTGGAATATTCTTTTTTTTTTTTTTTTTTTTTTTTTTACAGCTCATTAAAAATATAAAACTATTGACTCTGCAAAACTGTCCACAATCTGGGTGTGACACCTGGTTTTGAACAATGCATACATAGCTCCAGTCTCAAGTAAGGGAGAAACATCCCAATAGCGCTCTTCTTTACAGCTCACCTTCCTTCAGTTCTCAGCCGAGCACTCACCTTGATTTCTGTCACGACGGACTATTTCAAGCTGTTTCAGAGAGTTCTATTAGTGCAATTAGGCTGAAAGTTCTCTCATTCCTGTCTGGCATCTTTGCCCAATATGTTTTTGAGATTCATCTGAACTCTTAGTAAATCAGTGATTACTTTTTTAAATGTTGAATTGTATTCTGTCTTATGAATATGGTTTTTTTTTTTTTTGTTTTTAAACCCATTCATTTGAAAATAGTTATTTGATTTTGTTATTATTATACATACAATTTCAAGGAATATATTTATGGAAGCCCTTTTTTGGTATATGTTTTTATTTCTGTTGGGTAAATAAATGAGTGGAATTGTGGGTTTTAGGATTAGTCCAGGTTTAAAAGGAAGGAACTGCCGACCCATTTTCCACAGTGACTGTGTCATTTTACTTTAACTGGATTGTTTGAAGGTTCAGTGGCTTTATAATCGGTCATTTTGTTTCTACTCATTTTAGTGAGCACATAGAGTATGGCATCATGGTTGGAAGTATATTTTTCTAATGCGTGTGCACCTGAAAAGTTTATTCCGTGGCTCCTAGGTATAGTATTTTATAAAAGTCCAGTTTATTTGTGTAGTTCTGAGTGTTCCCTGTCTTTGCTGATTTTCCTTGGGGTTATTTTATATTTTCTGAGATGAGATTTGAAATCACAGATTTATTTATATCTCCTTAGGTCTGTAGCTTTCAGTCATGCATTTTTAAATTCTATTTTTTAGGTTCACATGCATTTTCAAATTTTTACTTTTTCCTGATAGATTAGTTTTTAAGTGCCTCTTATTTTTATATATCTTATGTTGTTTTATATAATACTAAAACAAACAACTGCCTTGACAACAGTCTTCTTTTCCCTACTGTTCATAGTTTTTTCTCTTTCTATTGCAACATTTTCTTTATTTTGCAGTATTTAATGCAGTGTTGGTAAAGTTGGATTTTACAGGCTTTGGATATGATTTTTTACCCCATGCTGTTTGTATTTTACTGTTTCATGGATTTTGGCATAAGACACTAATCTTTGTTATGGAGAGGTCATTAAGGATTTGTCTAGGCTTACATAGTTAAGTCAGTGATGGACATGAGGTTTTAACATTGACCATCTATCTGTTTTAACTCTAGACCTCAGGGCTCTAGCCAGCATGTTACCTCAAAAGTTGTTGTGCAGTCAGGTAAATGTAGTGAGTTCACTTACTGTAACAAGTTAGAGTATGTTCCTTGACATAGGTTTCATATGTAAACTTCTGTGCTTCAGTATTTATTGCATTTTAACATACATTTGCTAAAGAAATTATGTGACATAAGTATTAAGAATTCCAAAGATTACATAACTGTAAATCATATAATCATAAAAGTAGGGAAATGAGGACATTGGTTTTTTTGTTGTTACTTGCATTAGTTCAAATGTCTTATTTTGCAACATTTTAAATGTTCTATGTTTAATCTGAGTGAGTACTATTTTGTGAGTGTGGTGTTCTGTACATTTATAGTGAACAATGAACAGAGTAGACAAATACATGCTATAGGATGGTTGAACAAGATTTAATTATTACCACTATATATTTTACTTTATGAAACATTGGCAGTTTATAAATGTTTAAAGAAAAAATTGCATATCTTTGTATACTCCCTCCTAACCTGTACCTTCAGCTGTTATTGACACTGGCCAGTCAGTCTGCCTGTCGCTGTCTCTCCGTTGCCCTCTCTTCATCTCCTCTTCACCCTCAACCCCGCCTTCTTTGTGATGTTTGGTTTGATTTTGAGACAGTCTCATCTATCCCAGGATGTCCAGACTTTTCTGTGTATTTCAGACTGGCCTTGAATTCTGGATTCTCCTGCCTCTACTTTCTGAGTGCTGAGATTACAAACATGTGTCACCCATGTCTTACTTTCATATCCATATCTCTAGCAACATAGTTATGCTACAATTTTTAATGGCTTCTCTGTGTCAACTGTCGTTTTCTTAGGGGAAATTAAGATTTTGCTATACTTTGCCTTTTACAGCCTTATGTGAGAATAATTTTCATGTCCGTATTGTAGAGTTGGAACTGCATTTATGAAGTCCAAACATTTCTTGAACAAACTAGGGTATTTATGTGGCTCCAGTAATGGTTATAGCCAACAGATCTTTTTGTGCATATCTATGTATGCCTGTGTGCTCTCTTGTGTATATGCAAGCATGTGTGTGTGTTCATGAATTGTACACACTCGTATACACACTTTGTATAAGTATACTAGTGAATCATTTATAAGTTTCACGTAACATGGCAGCTTGAGTCCTGAATATTTTAATGTTGTTCTCTGTATGTTTGCGTTCTTTATTGTTGATGCTGTTTTTTACTCTTTTGGGGGCCCACCATCCAGCTTCCAAATAAATACATGGAGACTTATTCTTTCTTATCAATGCCTGGTCTAGAAAGAAGCTTGGCTTCTTTCTAGCTAGCTTTTCTTAACTTAATTATCCCCTGTACATTTTGCCTCTGGGGTTTTACCTTTCTCTATTCTGTCCACCTCTCTTTCCTTCTTACTCCATGACTGGCTGGGTAGCTGGGTGCCTGGCCCTGGTGTCCTCTCCTTCTCCCTTTCTCCCTCTTTCCTCTTCTCTGTTCTTTCCCTTGTATTTATTCTCTGCCTGGCAGCCCCACCTGTCCCTCTTCTGCCTAGTTATTGGCTGTTCAGTTCTTTACTAGACTAATCAGATGTTTTCGGCAGCCAAAGTAACACAGCTTTACAGAGATGCATCACATCTTTGCATCATTAATCATTAGCAGAAGCAGCAGAAACAAATGTAACGTGCTTTTACACAGTTGAAATAATATTCCACAGCACTTGATATGCTGTCCTTCTTGTCATATGGGTCAGCAACTTGGTAAAGTGCTAGCTATGAAGCATGAGGACCCGAGTTTGATTCCAGAGAGCCCACTGGGCATGGTGGCACACACTTGTTGTAGAGATAGGTGGGTCCCTGGAGCTCACTGGCTCACTGACTAGCTAGCCTAGCTAAGTTGGCCAGCTCCAGACCAGTGAGAGATCCTGTCTTAAAAAAAAAAAGGTGGGCAGCCTCTAAGGGATAATACCTGCTGAGGTTGACCTCTGCCTTTCACATTCATGTACACACATGTGTACACATACAAGAACATACATGCATACAGTCACAAAAGAAAGTAATAAAAATTAAAGGATGAAGGGAAAACAAATATCATTAAGAGATTATCAGTAGCTAATTTCTGTGAAGCAGGATTCAGTAAAGGTTTGGGTGGTGGTTTTGGTTACTGAGTCTTTCATACTCACTTGACATAAACTGTTCCCTCTATCATTTGTATTTTAGTAAACTGAGCCTAACCTACCTAACCTATAGCTTTGTTAGATGCAGATTAACATTGTTGTCAAAGACCCTTTATGAATATTGCTGTGGACTTCATATTTGTCACTTTAGAGTATGCCATGGTGTTCATTGTTAATGACACTAAGTTTACCTATAGGATAAGAAGGGAAGCGTCCACACAATAGTACCTTCAATATGTTTTCCCCTCTACAATAGCAAATCCATGAAGTGACATTTTAACACCATTTAAGTATCTTGATTCTTGCATATGTTTTTGCATATGTTTTGGCCATGTAAAATTTATCCTTACCTGAGCCCATCTATCTTATTGGGTCTTACAGCATAATATGTTTTTCTAGTTTATCATTTCTTTTACCTTATTAGTGGTATTCTTCTATAAAGAGAAGTCTCCTTGACTAGGAATTGGATACAGTTTTAACTTAAATCAAGGTCAATGAATGCCTGATTGTATTAGAAGTTAAACTAATGAGTAAGTCTACAGTGATGGCAGTTTATCCTCCTTTTTTGTTTTCTGAGTTGTAGACATGCATATTTTCAATCTGTTTTGTGTTTTCAAATAGATTAAGTTATTTGCCCATCTTTTGATTAGGCTTTTGAGTTGTAGTACCATATAGTCTATCCGATTATAGTTTGCAGATATTTTCTCTCAGTTTGTGTCTTTCATTTTCTTAATGATGTCTTCAGAAGGGCAAAAATTTGTAACTTTGACAACATCCAACTTGCCACAAAAACTTCTGAGAAGTTTGTGTCTGATTTAGAATCAGGAAGATTGGTGTGTTTCATAAATTTTATTATTTTCCTTCATATTTAGATTTATAATCTAAGTTCATTTTTGTGTGTGCTGTCGGATTTTTTTCTCTTTAACTACCTGGGTGTTTATTTATTCAATATTTCACACCCAATTGTGATTGTTTTTAGTTTGTTTGTTTGTTTTTGAGACTGGGTTTCTCTTTGTAGCTCTTGCTGTCCTGGAACTCACTCTGTAGACAAGGCTGACCTTAAACTCAGAGACCCACCTGCTTTCTGAGAGTGCTGGGATTAAAGGTGTGTGCCACCACTACTGCCTGGTGCAATCGTTATTCTTGATGCTCCAGTATTCCAATTAGAATGGGTTATGGGCCTTTGTCCTGGCTGTGGCTCTTCAGCTTTTCTGCTGTGATACTTTACTGATCTCCCACTCTGATGCACACCATTTGCTTTTTTTAGTAGACTGACCCGTTGTAGCAGCACTAACCTTTTTAGTAAACAGTGTCCATTATGAGTTTCAAAAAATACTGATGTCTATATCAACGTACAGTTTGTTTCTTCTATGTGTCTGTTTCTGGTTTGTTACTTAAAGGAGGAATTGTCACTTAATGATATTTAAACAATAGCTGTCATTCCAACATTATCAAATACGATCTCTAACCGTTATAGTACCCCATATTTATCAGTAGTGTTCTGTGACCTAACAAGAAACAGTAGAATCATCAAAGGATGAAGGTATTAGACAGAAAAAACAATGCTGTCTAAATTCTTTAGACTAAGGTAAAGTCACTTTCTGTTCCCCACTCCTCCCTTTTTTCCTTGTAGTTTGGACTGGTCAGCTGTTATTGTAGATGAAGCTCATAGAATCAAGAATCCAAAAGCACAAGTTACAGAAGTTATGAAGGCTTTAAGTTGCAAGGTCCGCATCGGCCTCACAGGCACCATCCTTCAGAACAACATGAAGGAGCTGTGGTGCGTCGTGGACTGGTGAGTGAAATGCTTAGACATTTTCTGGGCGGGTGTTTCGCAGAGTGCTACCTTGTTTTCTGATTACTAGTCCTTGAAATCACAGATCCTACCCCAGAAAACTGATCACTTAACTGTTTACAGAAATATTCGATCTTAAGCATGTCTCAGTGTAGGAAGTCCTGTGAAAAGTCTTAGTGATGGTGGATGTCCTTCTGTATGCTGTGAATATATGTTTCTTTTACCGATTAATGAATAAAGCTGCTTTGGCCAATAGAGAGGAAGGATGTAGCCAGACAGGAAATATAGGCAGAGCTACCAGACCAGGAGAATGCTTGGAAGAGGAACGCAGAGAATGAGTCACTGAAGGAGATGCCGTGTAGCTACCTGGAAGGTAGGACACCCAGACATTCTCCAGTAAGCCAAGACCACATGGATATACATAGATGAATAGAAATGGGTTAACAATTAAGAGAGTGCTAGCTGTAAGAAGCCTGTCCATTGGCCGACACAGCTTTATTCATCAACCAAGAAGAGAAGCATATGTTCACAGTGTACAGAAGGACGTCCCCATCATCTTAGTCCTGTTAGTCCTGTTAGTCCCCAGAGTAAATAAATGCTGAATTACCAATCCCTTCACCTTCAGTTATAAACAGTCACAAAGAAGGGATGGTGTTTTCCTGGCTCTTATTTTGTTACATTAATAAGTAAGCCACTGAATATGTTCCTTACAAGCAAAAGAATTGAATGCTTTCCTTTTTGGATAATTTAGTAACTTTGTTACATTTTTCTTACTGTCTTTATAAAGGGCTGTGCCAGGACTTTTAGGTAGCCAGAGCCACTTCAAGAAGCAGTTTTCTGACCCAGTGGAACATGGTCAGAGACACACAGCCACAAAGAGAGAGCTTGCTACTGGCCGAAAAGCTATGCACAGACTTGCAAAAAAGATGTCTGGCTGTTTTCTCAGGCGCACCAAGTCCCTTATCAAGGGTCAGCTGCCTAAGAAAGAAGACCGGGTGAGAATCACATTTGTTTGTATTATTAATTCCTCATCCCAATTTTTTTTTCCTAAAAAGCATGTTTCTTTTTAGGATTCGTTTTGTGGAATAAGTTTGTTACATATGTGATTTCAGAAAACATCAGCTGAGCTCAGTTCTATTTCTTTCTTAATTTTACTGACCTGCTGGCTAATAGGCCTGTAATTAGTACATGTGTTAGTTAGCTTTCTATTACCATGAGATATTCTGGCGATAAGTCACTGTAAAAGGAGGGAAGGTCTGGTTTGGTTTCATAGGCTTCAGTCCATGGTTCTTTGGACCTGTGGTCTGTGGGAGAACTTGGTAGAGCAAGCTTTTACCTCACAGTGGCAAGGAGAAAGACAGGTTTGGGGGCGGGGAGTGGGAGAAGGAGTTTATAGCAAGATACTGAATACAAGTAACTAAAGTAACATGAAATTTTTAATGTTTTTACAGTTTTCAAGTATTTCAGTAGCATTTGTTATTTATACTGTTGTTCTAAAGACTCTTGTTTTACTTTATCATACTTCCTGTGCATGATGGGCTAATAAGTATTTTTAAGGAGACACATGATATACTGGGAAATATATAAGGAGTCACATGATTTGTTTTTCATGTGTTTTTTCTTTTAAGTAAAAACAGGAATAAATTAAAAGGATTTTTGGAAAGTGAGGTGATAGTCTGTACAATGTAGACTGAGGTGAGGAGCAAGAACGAAAGATAACGGGGGGAGGGGGGGTTTGATCGTCCCAGACAGAAGCACAGGTACTGAGTGTAAGGGATTGTGCTGCTGCCTTCATTGAGTCATTGTGATGGTTCTTCTCGTTGCTGTAGAAATGCTAGTGACTGCTTCTCTGTTGTCTACAGATGGTGTATTGTTCTTTGACAGAGTTCCAGAAAGCTGTCTATCAAACAGTGTTAGAAACAGAAGATGTGGCTTTGATCCTTCGGTCCTCTCAGCCTTGTACCTGTGGCAGTGGCCGGAAAAGGAGAAATTGCTGTTACAAGGCAAACATTTCCATTCATCTTTGCTATTTTGTTCTTGTGTCAGTGAAACCACTTTTTGTCAGTTCTTTAACTTTAGAAGTTATGTTTTTAAAAAGTTATCAAGAGACTAGGGAGATGGCTTGGTGAGTAGAAGTACTTGTGACACAAGTCAGAACCCACACAGACAGCATGCGGTGGCTGGGTCTGTGATCCCAGAACTCCTGGCGTGATGGGGCTGCAGACAGGAAAATCCCTGGCACCATGTGGGCCAATAAGAGAGACTCTGCTTTAAAACAAGGTGGAAGGCAGGAGCTGGCTCTTAAAAGTTATCCTCTGGTCTCCACATGTGTGCCATGGCACATGCATCACATACACACACACACAGACACACATACACACACACACACACAAAACACACACAATGCACAATATACACATACACAACACACACAACACATATACACATATACACACATACATACACATGCACACACAACACATACAACATATATACACATACACACATGCACACACACAACACACACACAACAATACAACATACACACAACACATATACACATACACACATGCACACAACACATAGACAACACACACACAACACACACGCACACACATAGCATACACACAACACATACACAACACACATACACACACACCACCACAAACACACAAACACACACACACACACACACACACACACGGGTAATCACAAATTAATCAGAAATGCTTTACAATCACCACAATATAAAATATTCAAGTAGCAATAAAACCTAGTTTAGAAATTAAGCTTCAGTTTGGTACCTTCTCACTTCTTATTAGGGAATAGCCTCCTTTTATCTTATAATTTCATTTTATTTTCACAAATTTTTCATCCACTGCTATTAAGAATGAGTCACTTCTTTACTGATGAAACATAGCTTCTAGCCACAATGTCCTTTTAATGGATACTTGTGTTAGAAGAACAAAATGTTTTCTTAGAGACAAAAAGTTACTTGTTTTTCTATCTGCTAGTGATTTGTTTGTTTGTTTGTGTTTTCCCAGGCAGGGTTTCTCTGCGTAGCCCTGGCTGTCCTGGAACTCTCTGTAGACCAGGCTGGCCTTAACTCAGACATCCATCTGCCTCTGCCTCCCAAGTGCTGGGATTAAAGGTGTGTGGCACCACTGCCCAGGTTTTTAAAAATTTTCTTCTTATGTTACATATCTGTATTGATTACCCGGACCTGAGTATTTCTCTCGATTGCTTTTCATCCCATATAACTGATTTTGCTGTTTTCAGTCATTTCCATTTTTGTAATACCCCATATTTTTAGAAAACTTTCTAGCTTTGTTATCAGATTTGGGGGTCATACCCTGTGCCCCAAGTCAGTCCAATTAAAGGAGAGAAATTAAAAGTGGAAAGCAGAAAAAGGAGTTTTATTAAGCACAGCTGCATTGGGAAGAAGGACAAAGATCCAGAAAATCCCTCAAGTCCATCTTCCCATTCTATAAGTGAGACTAGCCTTTAAATAGAGGCCAAGCAGTACCAGTCAAGGTATGGTCCTGCCCACCACTGACTCATCAGTGTCTGGGCATGGGTCAGTAGTTGTTAGGGAATCTTTCTGGAGTCATGTTCTCTCTCTGGCTGGTGCCTTTTCCTCCCCCCAGCATGAGAATCCTGGGGGAATTCCTGTTTTCTTGGGCTCCATTGTTTCTGATAGTGAGATTGAGCGACAAGTATCTTTAGAGTATAGGCGTAAGTAGGGAGTAAAGCATTCTTTACAACAGTGTGACTGTGTCATAGCATTGCCCAGGACCCTCTTAACGGCAGGCAGCCTTCCTGTCACTGTTCCATTCCAGAATGGAGACTCCCCTTTTATTAAATAAACATTACTACATTATGATTCATGAAGAGTGAGTCTAGGTCTGTAATTCATGGGTATTCTTCCAAGCAGTTGGCTTCCACTGTCTTAGATAATTAGACAATAAGTATTAGTGTTGTATTTTATTATTAGTTATACAGCTATGTTATTAATGCTGTTCTCATTTGTGTTTTCTTTTGTTTCTGTTACAGACTAATTCACGGGGTGACAGAGTGAGAACCTTGTGTCTTAGTTACCTGACAGTGCTGCAGAAAGTAGCTAACCACGTTGCACTGCTGCAGACGGCCAGCACCTCAAAACACCAGGTTGGGGTTGATTTTACATCTCTCTGAGGTGCCATTGATGTTAAACTGATACTGCACAGTGTTGTCGGCACAAAAACCATATCTCCACTCTTAAAGGGAGTAAGAGATACTTTATTCTGAAGCCATTTCAGTGACCAGAGTCTGGGAAGGGAGATTTAGATTATCTATCCATATTTTAGTGGAAGTGGTTTTGTGAAATTTTATAGTTTATTGAAGAAAGTCAGAAATTGAGGCAAGTTTTAATATATATTAGTGGTACATTAGAGAGATGGGTACAGCAGGATGGAAGAAGATTTTTTTTATAGGTTCAGGATGCTATCTGATAGCATTCTTAGCTTTTGGATTGGTAGAAACTAGGATTCCGAATTATTTATCTATTAGTCACATAATGTTAGGTCTGGCACAGAGGTAGGCAAGGAATGGCTTAGAGAGTGACTGAAACTCTTAGATAAGATAATTAACTTCTCAAAGTTATCCATCTGTCTACAGAATTGCTGCTCTAATCTGTCAGTCTCTGCAGACACAGCTTCTTCCCAGGAATTCTCCTTCACACTGTCTTAGCTAAATGCTCTTAAGTGTATTTTAGGTAACATTGAAGAGGAATCTAACTTGCTTATTTTAAGATATAGTAATCGAATAACAGAACTTGCTTTTGTAGCACCAATACTAATAATTTTTTAAAGTAAAATTTATGTATCAAGGAACATGTGCACCTAAATTTTTAATCAGTGTAAAAAAGCTTGATCTTAAAAAAATAGCTGTTTTATGTGTCTAATAGTGTTTATGTATTTGCCTTTAACCCCAGCACTTGGGAGGCAGAGGCAGGCAGATCTCTGGGTTCGAGGCCAGCCTGGTCTACAAAGCAAGTTCCAGGATAGCCAGGGCTACACAGAGAAACTCTTGTCTTGAGAAACAAAACAAAAAATAAACAAACAAAAAAATTACTTAGAGCGTTGATACATCAATTCACATAAAAATATCTGCTAATATGTTTAATTATATTTATCTTATATGCTAGGTAAGTAGGTATATAATAATCTGTATATTAAATATTTAGACTGTCTCTCAAACTGCCACAAATCAGTCCTCTCCAAGGTGAGGATTAAATAGGAGCATTTACTTTGGTAACTGCAATTGTATCTTACTCTAGAGACAAGATCAGTAAAGAGGTCTTGCTGTCATGTAAGGATTGGTGTGTGTGTGTGTGTGTGTGTGTGTGTGTGTGTGTGTGCGCACACACACACACACACACACACACACACACGTACTGTAGCCGGTGCTGTTTAAACTGATTTAGAAACCTATTAAGAATCTGGTACAGTAGTCTTGGATAGTATTATTTACTCTTTAGGGATTGCTTGTTTGCTTGTTTTGGAAATTTTGAGAAAGTAATACAGTATGCACATCCACAGTATCAAGAATTTATCAAAACCATACATAAACATCTTTGGTTTTTGCAGGTTTAAACATGTATTGAAATTTCTTCTTCCTTCTTGCCAGGAAACACTTATCAAGAGGATATGTGATCAGGTATTTTCCAGATTCCCAGATTTTGTGCAGAAAAGCAAAGATGCAGCCTTTGAGACACTTTCTGATCCTAAATATAGTGGGAAAATGAAGGTTTGTACTGTTCCTTCTTTTTCCAACTCAACCAGGAATGCTACATAAAAGATTTGGTTGATACAGTGGTACAACAAGGACATGAGCTAATCAGGACAGTCTCCCAAACCCTGAGAAATGATGGAGATGGTGAGCTCTGCATATAGATCAGTACACACAATGGGTTCTCAGTGGCAGTTGCATCAAATATGCTTCAGCCTTTTCCTTACTGGTCTATTAGACTTAAGAGCACTTAAAATATATGCTGTTAACACATATGTGCAGAGATAAGGCCTCTATACCTAGATTGGATTTTCTGCTTCCACCTTTTGTTTGCTACCTGGATAGTAAAATTGCAGGGAATATTTGCCCTGCTTTGGGAAACTTACCAATTGCTATAACACGAATAACAAATGACCCGGAGACAGATATTGGGGTTCAAGCTGAGGGTCAGAAAAGCAAAGCAGCTGGCCACTAGCTCTCACCTCTACCTCAGGCTGAAAGTGCTGTCCTGTCCTCAGCATGGCTGGAGAATAAATCTCTGAGACTGACTCTGCTTCTTCCCTATGTACCTCTCTCTGCCCAGCCATATCACTCCTGTCTCCACCTCTCTAGCGCTGGGATTAAAGGAGTGTGATCCCAGGTGCTGAGGTCACCTTTATATGAGCTGTTTCTCTTTTAGACTGGATCAATTCGTGTAGTTCAGTGTGCCCTGAACTAACAGAGATCCATCTGCCTCTTCCGGAGTCCTAGGATTAAAGGTGTGTGCCACTACCACGTAGCTTCTACAGCTAACTAGTGTGGCTGGCGTTGCATTATGATACCTCAGGCAGTCTTTATTAAATCATAAGTAATACATCACCACATATGGATGGGAATGCTGTTCTTGGTACTGCAGTACAAAAGGAGGGGTGTGGACAGGAAGCCTGGGATCTGTAGCCCTGACCTAGGCCTCTGGATATTCTGTCATGGTATTGTGAACTGGTGACAGCCTCTGCCCTCCTGCAAAAGGCAAGTTTGCTTGACCCCTCAATAGCTATCAAGAATTCTCATTTATGGGTTCACAGATTTTTATAGCACAATTCCCAGCCTTGTCCTACCATTATACAGACAGTAAGGTATTTATTTATTTTGGCAAAGGGAATATAAAGGAAGTAATTCAAAGTAGTCAGTGTTTTATCTGGAAATACTTTTAGCTGTTACTCTAGGTAAGCTCAGTGTGGTTTAGTTGCTTAGACCTAGAAATTTAGTGAAACAAAATAGGTGGAAATAGAAGTAGTAAAGAAAATAGCATTAGAAGTTTATTTCTAAAAATAAATTAGTTTGTACTCTTGAGAATATCATGACTTATTCCAACAAGTAATTAAAATATTATAACCTGTTTTATCCATTTTATTTATTTATTTATTTATTTTAAAATTTTGAGATATAAGAGCCAAATTAATTTAGAGTTTAGTTTTAGAAATATAGTATGTAGTTAAGATAATGATTTATTTCATTTTTTATTCTGATTTTGGTTGTTGGAAGCTGGTTAGACATCTTGGTTTGTATGGAAAGCAGTTGATTTGCAGCTTCTTACTGATTGCTAGTCAAACATATCTTGATAGTGATCCATACTGTAGGACTGTTTGTTTCTTATATACTTAGCAGGGTTGCCTATAACATACTGGTTTGTGATATATAGTCTATAGCCTTATCATAGCCTATGAGGTTAAGAACTTCAAGTCATTGAGTTGTTTATTATTTGTGAATTCAGACATGTGAATTCTCTCTCTCTCTTTTTTTTCCCTTGGAGAGAAATATCACATAACCACTTAAGAGAGCGATAAAAAGCAAGGAGTCCAGTTCACTGTTCCAAGACCACGTTCATCTTTCTTGGCCAGTCTAATTTGAGAAACTTATATCCAAAAATTTCTTTGCTGTGAATACTCTCAAATTCATAGGTAGATTGTCCTTGGACATCAAGTAAGAATCTGTATTATTAAAGCTTCAACGTATTTTGATGGTATTTTTTTAAATTTTGCTAAAAGCCCTTAATTTATGGTTATTCATTTAGTGAGAGTTTTCTTTCAGTTAGCCTAATGAAGACTTGCAAGTCAGGAAAAAAAAATTCTCTTCTTACTACTTATTTCTGCTTTCAATACCCCAGATTACAACAGATCTGAAGCCATGTCCAGTGACATAAGTAGATTTCTCTTCAGAATATTTCTGATTTAATACATTAGCATCTTCCTAGGGAATGAAAAGACAAGCCACAGACCAGAATATCTTTGCAAAATAATGAAGGATTGGTATACAAAGAGTACAGAGAACTCTTAAAACTCGGTAGTAGAAAATACAGTGTTATATAACTGCAGAAGTAAAGCAGGTGGTAGCCCTGCACAGCTATTAAGGTAGCAAAGTCCAGACTACTTGTAAACAATGTTTCTTTCCCATCTGCCAGTTTCCAAATTACCACACAGAGACTTCCATTAGTTGTAAATGCTTAATGGACTCCTCTTACTCAGCCCTTCCTTTCCCATCATTCTTAGTCTGGTTGCCCCCCGCCCCCATACTGCCTGGCTGGCTACTGGCCAATCAGCATTTTATTAAACCAGTTCTAGTAACAGATCTTTATATTCCACAGCAACCACTGGCAGTACCAGATGCTTCCATCAAGGGTGAACTACAGAATGAGTTGCTCACTCTAGAGAATAGTTTGGTGACTTTGGGCAAAGCTTTCATTTTAGGTAATGTTAAATGCATAGCGCTTAAAATGTGTTTGAAATTTAAAATAGGAAAATGAAGGGGCTGCAGAGATGGCCCAGTGTTTAAGAGCACTGACTGCTCTTCCAGAGGACCCAAGCTCAACTCTCAGCACCCACATGGCAGCTAGCAACTGTCTATAACTCAAGATCTGACCCCTCACACAGACATACATGCTCTCAAGACACCAGTGCAAATAAAATAAAAATGAGTAAGTTAAAATAGGAAAATGAAATTTTCATACCATTTTATGTATTAGTCGCATTCCTTGTTACTTACCTAACAGATTCAGTGAATTTTACTGTTTAAACTTATGCTGACACAAGAACCCCACCTAAATTTATATATAATTTGCAAAGCTTGGAAGCAATCCAGGTGTCCTTCAAAAGGTAAATGGATAAACTGGTGCAGCCATGAAATGGCATAGTTTTTAACAATAAAAATTGAGTGAGACATGGTGGTACATCCTTTTAATCCCTTCACTCTGGATGCAGAGGCAGAGGCAGGTGGATCTAGTTAAGTTCAAGGATAGTATAGTCTACGTATTGAATTCCAGACCAGCCAGGGTTACATACAAATTGAGACCCCTGCCCCCCTCAAAAAAAAAAAAAAAAAAAAAAAAAACAGAAAGGATGGAACACTTGGAGAACTCTTGCACACACATTGCTAAATTAAAGGAGCTGGTCTGAAAAAGCCTACATGCTGTGTGACCCCCATCTGTATACCCCTCTGAGGAAGGAAACGCTCCAGAGACAGCAGAAACATTGGGGGTCTTGGGGATGGAAAGGTATGTAGGTAAACTACCAGTGACTTACTATTTTATATGATGTAATAAGAAACAATGTCATGATGTACTCATCAGAATTTAGAACTGTAAACAAATGAGTGGATGCTAATGTAAGCTGGACTTCTGTTAGTAATGGGACAGTATTCTTAATCAGTTTCACAGCTACCTCTTGAATAATAATGATATTTTAATAATATAGATGTTAATAGGAGGCATTTTGGGGATATATAGCTCAGAGGTAGAGTATTTGCCTAGCATGCAGAAGGCCATGGATTAATCCCCAGTATTGCAAAAAGAAGTGGGAGCTTTCTACACTTAGCTCTGACAACCTAAAAACGTGACTTGTATCAATTAAAAGTATTAGTCTTACATAAAATTCAAATATGTGTCCTTCATAAAGGCAGTTATTTCATTTAAAAGTAAAACTAAATGCAAATAAAATTTTATATGTTGTCAGATATTAAAATATTTCCCCAGTCGGTGACAGTTTTACTCACTATTTGAGATTTTAAAAGGCAATCTCCATAGCATGTTTCTTTCAACGATTGAGGATAAGACTCAAATTTAGAATAAAGTCCGTAACTAGATAAACCATTAAAAGGTTATTATATTGAGTATAATTTTTTCCTTTATATGTTTATCATCAAATAAATAACATTATTTCTTTCATAGTCGGGTAAAACTTGGTACAGAAAATTCCTCTCTTCTCTGTGGATTGCCTTTTCATGGTGTGCTGCCTTCCCACATATGCGAATGTCTGTTTAGAAGCAGCAGGTTCTGCTATGTGCCGCGGTCTTTGGACCCTTGCTTCCTCTCCCAAGATCTTAGTATAAGGGGAGATTATTAGCACCTTGAGGTCAGAATCCAATCTGGAAACCAGGGTTTACTTTAAATAAACAAAGGGGAGAAAGTAAGAAGTTATATCTTAGAGAATAAACATCAGGTCTTTCAGAACCTACCTAGATACAACTGAGAGAGAGCATTGCATTTTGTCTGTCTAGAAAGCCATTTATTTGCTAAAAGGTATGCTTTGCTAATTCAGTATAAAAGTGTATTCTAGAAATTAATTCACCATCTAAAATGCTTCTTTTTATTAAAACCAGATGAGATGAAATAGGCTTGGGAACTTTACCTCCTTCTGACAAGAGGATGATGTGATAAATACTGTATTTGGTAACTTGGTGTATATAGAGGAGATTAACAGAGATGACTTAGGTTAGTGTTGTGTAGAACACTTTTTCAGGAACTCCCCAGTGCTGTCTGTATGTGTAAAGTGTGCTTGTAGTTGGCCCTGATCCCTGACGCCCTGTGTTCCTTCCCAGGTTCTCCAGCAGCTTTTAAATCATTTTAGGAAGCAACGAGATAAGGTTCTTCTCTTCTCCTTTTCCATCAAGGTGAGTTCCATCCAGAATGTTCTTGCTTGGTTGGTCTGAGTCTCTAGGCGCTAAGCATAGGAAGTAGCAGATTACTGTCATGTTCTCGTCCACACAGCAAATTGTGATGAGGAAGCAACTGAGACCTTTGAAGCTTACTCAGTTATATGTGTAACTTAGATGGGGTGCTACCATCCTATCAAACTCAGAGGTAAAGTTGTATTTTCTGCTGATGTTCTCTTGAGAGATTTAGGATATTTTAAAGTTTAGAAAATGACATAAATGAATGTTTTCATAAATTATTTGACCAGTGGCTTTTTAAATATTTGGTTTCAGTTTTTTGTTTCTTTGTTTTGTTTTAAGAAAGACTTATTAAAAAGAAAAGATTGCGTATTTAAGTAAAATGGAAAGAAATGCATGAATTAAAAGTAAGAAAAGTATTCTTTTGGTGCTGGAAACACAGCCAGGGCCTGGCATATATGAGGAAATCACTCTCCCATGGTTACACCCAGGACCCCCATATCTATTGCTCATTAATTGAAGAAAGGAATTGTTTGCCCAATGGTCATTGCTCACCAAATGTAGTGACTGAGCAAAGCCTATGACTGAAGACTGTGCCTCTCCTGCTCCCCCAGCTGCTTGATGTGCTGCAGCAGTACTGTATGGCTTCTGGCCTTGAATTCCGGCGGCTTGATGGGAGCACAAAGTCGGAGGAGAGACTCAAGATTGTGAAAGAGTTCAACAGTACAAAAGACGTGAACATTTGTCTTGTCTCCACCATGTAAGAAAGTAAAGCTTGATAGCTTGATTTCTATCTGGTTGTTTTTAAAACTATTTTGGGATCAATTTTCAACAAGTAGGCTTATATTGCTTTGTTTTATTTGACTTTAAGAAGCAGTAAAAACACTATCACTTGTAATTAGAATAGCAGTATCTTGAGTTTTACCTAATCTTTTATTACCTTATCATTCTGGAATTCCTCTTGTAAGGATTGGCTTAAAAGATAAAATGAAAACACAAACCTTGACTCCCAGGAATTCCTGGATAGTGTTAGTGTCCTAGGGTCAGTACAGTTGGAATTTTTACTTGGAGCTTGGCACTGCTGCCTTCTCTGCCTTGTCCCAACTGGAGATGCTTCTGAGATTTTACAAGGGATAAATTTGTTCTAGCACCTCCTTAATGAATGTCTAATTAGAACCTTGTAAAGAAAATGTACTCTTACAAAAAGATTTCAGTCAGAAGAAATACCTAAGGAAGATATTTGAGGGCATAATAAATACTTTGTCTTTTGCATTGTGTGTGAGAATTTTAAGGTTTGTTCTCACTTTTGTTTTTAAAAAAAGAGAACCAGAGGACGTTAGAAATAAAATGTGAAATGCAAAAGTAGAACTCAGACTGAGTACTGAGATGAGGAGTTAAGCTGATTGACTGTGGCATGAGCAGTTCTGTTGAAGACATACAACTGAGAAAAGGAGAGAAGCTTTTGAACTTCATTGGCTATGGATGATGTCAAACACTTCTCATCTAAGCCCTTACACACAAAGCATTAAGTACTGCCTTCAGCTAAGTTCTGTGACACACCTCAGCATTCTTAACTTCAGACATGTGTCAAACATACTGAATAGAAGATCCAGCAGTACAGAGACCTTCGTGACATCATCAGGTCCAGTTTTCTGCTAACAGCTCTGGTCTCAATCCTTACATACCCGACACATTGCATTCCTAATGTCTAAAGAAAAACTTTCACTTTTAGATATCCTATTAGAGCTTTACAAACCCACCTTATTTTATTTGCATTTTGTTCTTTGTAATTTCTAGTCTTTTGATTCGTTAGTAATTTTAATCACATTGTTAAAAATCTTGAGTCTATCATGTATGTATCTACCATCCATCTATCATCCTTGCATCTATCACCTGTCTATCATGTATGTATCTGTCATCTATCTGTCTATCATCTATATATCTGTCATCTATGCATCTGTCTGTTTATCTGTCTTTTATTGTTGAGGGAAGTCTTATACCATCATAGAGTCAGTCTTTTCCTACTTTTATTAGGATTAGAGCAGTTTTGTTACTGTTAGACTCATGTTTCAAGACTTATGTGGCAAGTGCCTGTACCTGCTACCTGCTGTGAACCATCTTGCTGAACTAAGTTTCTTTTTAAGACTGGGCGGTCTCACTCTGTAGCCCTGTCTGGCCTGATGTGGACCATGTTGATCTTTAACCTGCTTCTGCCTCCCACATTATTAAAGATTAAAGATGTGCACCACCACACCCAGCCCCTAAAATCTTTTTATTAGTGGTATTTTACTGTATTCAGTCTTGTCCTTGGGGATGCTAATCATCAGGCTGTTTCCTCAGTCTCTTGCTTCTGGCACATGGTTTCTTCACATATTTTATAGGTTTTTATTTTGTTTTCTTGGTGGAAATGTTCTCCACTTGTGTGGTTTCCCTGTGCCTTCTGTTAACTGTCCCAACCAAGGCAAAAGTCATGTGTGACTGAATTCAAGGAGTAATTTTTGGCATAAGCCATTGAATAAAGAGCCACACCAACCCTTTCTTTGATCTTTGCCCTCCTGTTGACTACCTTGTTGGGCCTGCTACTGCTTTTAACTCCTGCATAGCTAATTAGATTAGTATCCACAGGTTAGCTTTAAAATTTGGAGATCAAAACCCAGCAACTTGCATTGTGATTTTCTGAACATTGTTTAATAATGTTAGATTAAGTAGAACTAAACCAACTTTTCACTTTGTTACCTTTCAGCCAGTTCAAGGGATATAGTCAAACAGTGGCCAAACAAGCTCTCCGTTCTAATACTAGGTCCACTGTTTTATGTTTGAGTTTACTTTGTATTTCAGTTCTGACCCATTTGTCCCATGCCCCCCCCCATCAGTTTTATTCCCTATGCATTTTTTTGTTGAGTCCTCGTTGTTCTCTAGATTTTTCTGCTGCCAATCTTTGATCTCATCATCTCAAACTCAGCATATTGTCTTTTAGGCCTGGCCACACTGTCATGTTAACCATTCTTCACTACTTCATTGCATTGCATCCTTTGCCTGTATCCCATGCCATCTTCATCCTTAATTTACCCCATTGTTATCTAGGAAAGTTTCCTCAAGTTGTACGGAAAGTAATTTCTTGCAGCCTTGAATTCAGAAAATGTTGCTTATTTGGCCTTCCCCTTTGAATTCATACTTTAGCCAACTCTAGAAAACTAGACTGGAAATAATTTCCTTTCAAGTCTTTGAAGGCCTTACAGCACTGTCACTTGGTATTTAATGTTATTAAGTGCCACTCTGATTCTCCATCCTCTGTGGGGACCTCTGCTGAAATTTAATGGTGACATTTGAGTCTCACTTTGGGTCTTGGTTGTTTGTTGTGCCACAGCCTGAACGCATATCTTCTCCGACTCAGTGAAATGTTCTCTTTATTGTTTACTTTAAATGCCTTCCGTTTCTCCCACTTTTTTTGTGGTTGCTGTTATGTTTTAGACTAGTGGTTCTCAACTTTCCCAATGCTGTGACCCCTTAATGCAGTTCCTCATATTATGGTGGCCCCCAACCATAAAATTTCTTCATTGCTACTTCGTAACTGTAATTTTGCTAATGTTAGTAATCATAATGTAAATATCTGATGTGCAGGATGTCTGATATGTGACCTCCAAGGAGGGTTGCAACCCACAGGTTGAGAACCTCTGTTTTAGTTGATTTGTGTGCTTTGTTGGCTGGCCTTAAGCTTGTTGCCCTCAAGCTTGCTGCCCTCTTGCTTTTTATATATTCTTTACATCAGATATTTCACATTTTGTACTACTTGTTTTGAGTCTATGAGAATATAAGTTTTCAATCTTGTAGATTATTTTATCGAAACATTTTTTAATCTAAATTTTTTTGTGCTTTCCAATCACATTTTTTTTCTGTGAAGTCTCACCCCCTGGAATATCAGTACATTAGATTTTCATAAATGATCTTTAAATTTGTTTAAAAAAGCTTCAATTTTTTGTGGAATTAAATTTTTTTGAGAATTTCATAGATGAGTATTAAATTTACATCATCCCTCCCATCTAGGATTAGGGTTTTGTTTGTTTGTTTTTTTTTTTTTTTTTAGTTAAAATCATTGAGTTTATAAGTTGCTTTGAGGGAAGTTGGCATCCTTATGATATCACCCTTTCTACCCATTAGTTTTCTTGGAAGCACTGTTTGTGGATACTTCATTTGATCCTTTATTATACTTAATACATAGTAGTAAAATGCATTTTGTTAAGAGTTATAGTTAAAGTTGTTGTATTCACTTAGTACAAGAGTAGAATGTGGAAGACATTCTTAACACAAATAGCCTACATGGTCATGAGATTTCTGTCTCAAATAATAGTCCTTAGCCAGAAATGAACAATCATATTCAGTTGCTTAAAGAATAAATCCTTGTTACTAGCCATGTAATACCAAAGTAATGGACTTACAATTAGGCTTCTAAATTATGTCAGAGAATCATCTCATCATCAGGAATATATAAGCCTCTTTAAGGCTTTGCCTCTGCTTTAACCAGCCAGGTGTTATTTGTACTTTCAGTCTCTTAGAAGATTGCTCCTCTAGTTGTAGAGGCCTTTTGGGGGCGCAGTGGGGTATCTAAGATGAGTCAATGTCTTATTTCTCCATCAAGAGCCTACCTGGAGTAGTTGAGAAAAAAAAAAAAAAGGCTTAGTAGACATAGATTATGCTCAGATGCTCATATAACTCCTACTTGCCCTCCCATGTTTACCCTAACTTTTTTCCATGGTGGGATTTTATTGTTGTCTTCTTTTCCAAAACTTTTTCCCTATCCAACCTTTGCCTCATAGGTTCAAATCTCTGTAGAATTTGTTTGTTTGTTTGGTTTGGTTTGGCTTGGTTTTCAAGACAGGGTTTCTCTGTGTAGTCCTGGCTGTCCTAGAAGTAGCTCTGTAGACAGACTGTGACCCACTTTGCTCTGCCTCCTGCGAGATGGGATTAAAGGGGTGGACCACCACCACCCAGCTTCTCTGGAATCTTTTTGATATTAGCTCTGGAATGTAATTCTAAAAAGACAGAAGTCAGTTTCTCTTGAGCACTGAAATTTAACAGGATACTTCAGTTTGAATACAGACTCAGGCTGCTTAGAAGACCCTTTGTCTCTACCTGAAAAGTGTTTGGCTCTTAAACTTATATTGAGGAACGTCTGGCCTAGTGATATACATCTTTAATCCCAACACTTGAGAAGCAGAGGCAGGCAGATAGTGGCAAACTCCATTCTCTGATCTTCAGGCAGGCTTTATTTGTACAAGCAAGATTTCTCCACAATAGATATATAAGCATATTTCTGTATAGATTACTTACTTTTATATAAATGATGACAATATAATATTATATTGGCTACAGAAAATGGGCATGATTGAGTTATAGCACAGTGATTTGTTCAATTCTGGATGGTGGGGTTTGTTTGAGAAAGGGTCTTATACAGCCTGAACTGACCTAGAACTTTTGACTTCTGCTTCTGCCTCCTGAGTGCTGAGATTACAGTGTATACAACCATCCCTCTTAATGGTTCATGCTGTTTTAATATACTATTTCCTTTTCTGTCCAGGGCTGGTGGACTAGGTCTCAATTTTGTTGGTGCCAACATTGTTATATTGTTTGATCCAACTTGGAATCCAGCCAATGATCTTCAAGCTATTGACAGGTATGATACCGACAAAATGTAAATGACCTGTGAATTCTTGTAACCTAAAACCACTCCTGAACTTTATACATCGCTAAAATTAGAAAAGGTGGTTATCTGGTGACAATTTGTATTAAAAAAATGATCCTATACTTTTAAATTCAAATATCAGGCTGGTAGTAACCATTTGTTTTCTATCTCTAAATCCTCCTAATGTGAGTAAGACCATAATGCCAAAGAAAAATAGGATAATTTATTACTAGTAGTTTACAAATTTTGAGAAAACTCCAAAGAGAGACTAACCAGAGAGAAACCACAATCAGAGTCTGCAAAAAAGAGCAAACTGCTAGTGTGAAATGGCAACTTGCTGGACCAGACGAGACGAGGGTGTTAGTCCTGGAAAGTAAGAGAGTAACGCGAGACCAGTGCAGAGTCCTTTCTGTACCTCTCCCTTACACAGGACTTGTCTCGGATGAGCTCCTTAAAGAACAATCTCGTAAGTTAAGTAGGAAACCAGGGTGAGAAAAGTTCTTGGTGTGTTAGATAGATCACAAAGTGGGGACAATCAGAATCCCAGATCCTCATAGTACGCAATGAGGGAAGTAATGGAATAATAAACCCGTTGCCTGCCTGCATAGGAATCCAGACCATCTTTCCACTGCAATCCATGTGCTTTTTTATTTTAATTACAAAAGAGAGATAAGAATTATGAGACACACTCTTAAAGTAGCAGCATGAAAGAAGACAGCCACAGGGAAAGCAGGCTTTGAAGGGACTAAAATAAGGGCAAAACAAAAATACTATGGTGCAATAAGAAAATACACATATGGTGAGCAAAACATTCTCAGAAATTAAAGCTCTTTAGCAGGCCTGAATAGTAGAGAGAGCAACGTGATATAAATGATGTATATTTCAAAACAAATCAAATAGAGGCAGAATATTAATATAGAGGAAGGAAAGCACACCCCACCCCCCGAAAAATTCATCTTTTTGTTCCAGAAATAAAAGTAGAAGACTGAAGGACAGGGGAGGGAATTAACAATGTATCTGAAGAACACTGTTAATTTTGAAGAGCTGCCAAACACTTAGTACAAATAATGGCCAAGAGGGAGATGAAATCTATATCTTTGTTATATTTCTAATTCTGAAGATAAAGAAGACTAAAGTACCCCAGAGTGAGAAATAAGAAGATTTAGAAAAACAAAACTCACAAGAAAAATCAAGTTAGCAATAAATGGGAATCAGCTTCGTTTCTGCAGGTCAGACTTTTCGTCTGTGGCTGCAGTTATGATCTTACGAGAAAGAAAACCATGTTGACTTGTGGTTGTGATCAGTGACTGACGCATTAGTATGTAAGGCAAGATTAAAAGCAACCTGACACCTGGGAACTCAGGAGTGTGCTGCTGTACTCTCAGAGCAATGTTCAAGTCAACAAACAGATCAGATCAAAGATGGCCAAAGAAGGTTCTGTGTATATAGTCAGAACTAAATGTTATTGGCGGTGTGGCTAAGAGGCTTCACACAATTAGAAAGGAAAAAAATTCTCCCATTTACTAACGATGGCATAAAAATATCAGTAGATAAGAATTGAAACTCTGTAATTTTAGTGAATTACCAGAATTATTCAGTCAGAAGGAACTATTCGAATTTTTCCTTTTAGGAAACAATATTCTGATCAGTTCTCAAAAGCTGTAACAATGATATTTTTAAATGCCAGAAAAAAATTAAGGAACCTCAACTATCAGTACAAGGCGTAGCGATCACTTGTTACCCTTTGTAGATAAGAATGACTATTTGTCACCCTCTGCACACTCTGCTTCTGCAGATGAAGTGAAACTGCAGCCTTGGCTCCCAACTTGTAGGTTATGACCCCTGTAGGATTAGAAGGACCCATTTATAGGGGTCACCTGAGACTAACAGATAAACAAGTATTTACACCATGAGTCGTAACAGTAGTGAAATTACAGTGATGAAGTAGCAAAGAAAATGATTTTATGGTTGGGGTCACCGCAGTGTGAGAAACTGTATTAAGGGTCCCAGCATTAGGAAACTGCTCTGTGGTCTCATTATTTTATATGTGCTTGTATATCTGTGCCAGTGTGTGTACATGTGAGTGGTTAAATTCAGGTAAATACTTATTATGAGACATATGTGCAAAATAAGACAGATGTAGAAATATGAGGGTCCAGAGAGATGGCTTAGTAGTTAAGAGCACGTTCTGCTATTGCAGGAAGCTGGGTTTGACAACAGGCCTTTTTTTTTTTTTTTCTTTCATCTAGAGACATGCATTAGTTTTCATTTTATTTATTTTTTTCCAGTTCTTGGTATTGCAGAACTTTGCGCATGCTAGGCAAGTGTTCTACCACTAAGCTACATCCCAGCCCCTATGATTAGTTTTTAAATACTGTACAAATGTTTGGAAGTACTGGGAGTATTTTATGATATTGTGAAGTTATAACAGGAAAATATGATCTATTCAAATTAATTGCAAACCAATCTCCATACATGTTCCTTAAAGATAGACAGTGAACATACAATACTGACTTTAAAATAACCATCTTAAGGTCTCTAAAAACTGAAAGAATACACAGAGAATACTAGAAGATACTGGTGGACAGAATGTGAATATCAACCGAAACAAAAATTTTGAGAACAAAAGTACAAATGTTCTGGACCTGCCATTCAGTTCTGGAATTAAAAAAATTTGGTACACTTAACCCTGACTTAAACAGGATGAAGTAAAAGAGTCAGTGAACTTGAAGTCAGATTACTTGAAATTACCAAGCCTAAGAAGAAACTTGTTGATAGAAAAGGGAAAGTAAATTTCACTAAAGAGACATATTTTCCTTTATTGTTCTCTTTTTCTCCTTCCTTCACACCAAGTAGACCATTTTGCACATTATGGAATTCTCAGCAGAGAGAGAGAGAAAAAAAAAGCAGAAATGATTATTGAAAAGCTTTCTGAGTTTGAAGGAAAATACAAGAAAGAAAAAACATCCCATGTTGAGATAATCCCAAAAAGACCCACACCAAGACCTTTTCAGGCTGTCACCAGGTAACAACACAAAGAGAAAGTTCTAAAGGTGACAGGATAAAATTGCACAGCATGTGGAGCTGATCTCCAGTACGCCCATCAGTGATTATTTCAGCACAGACCTGCAGGTCAGAAGGCAGTGTGCTGACATCATTAAAATACTCACACACCAATAAATAAGCTTAAAGCAATCTTTGTCCCGCCAGGTCCCACAACCACTTCAGCCCCAAATAAACACACAGACACTGTTTTAATTATAAGACTGTTGGCTGATGGCTAGGGCTTCTTATTGACTAGCTCTGTCTCAATTATTAGCCCATTTCTATAAGTCTATGTATTTCTACCTGGCCTTATCTTACCAGAGAACTCCTGGTTTCTACATGGCATCCCCTTCCGGCACCTCTCTCTGCCTACCTTTCCTAGAATTCGCCTTGTCTCCTACTCCTACCTATCTCTGGCCAAACAGTGTTTTATTCATCAACCAAGAAGAGAAACATATATACAGAAGGACACCCCCATCATCTGTCAGCTGAGAAACAATGAAAAAAAACACATAGATTTAGAATTTACTAGTACACAAAATAATCACTCACAAAGGATAACTTAGGTCATTCTCTCACAAACAAAAGCTGAACAACTCTTTTACTCTCTAGTGCTCCCTAGAAAAAATTCTAAAGGGAAAACTTTAAGTTGAAATGAAAAGATAGTACATGGTAACTTGAAGCCTTATGAACGTAAAGTTCACCTGTCTAGGCAAATACATGGGCAAGTAGAAATACCAGTAGAATTTAAGTGTTTGTTTTCACAGGATTCAAAAGGAAGATGCATAAGACAGTTATGAATCTGTGCATTTGTAATACACAAACAAAGGTGTAATTTGTAACATATGTATTTTATAAATATACAAACAACAGAGGAAACGAATCATAATGTGTCACTACAAAGAAAATCAACTAAAAACACAAAGGAAAATCAATAATAGAGGAAGGGTGACAAAACAGTTAAAAACAGCAAAGACAGCTAAACATAGTGGTACAAGTTTTTAATCCCACCACTCTGGAGGCTGAGGCAGGCAGATTTTATGCGTTTGAGGCCAGCCTGGTCTATATCATGAGTTTAGAGGAATATGGGGTCGGGAGGAGTAGCTGGCTACATGGTTTCTGTAAGTCTCGGTGTGTATTTAAGGATGTGTGTAAATTGGAAGAGAAAGGGTTGAAAAAGATATTCCATGAAGATAGTAACCAAAAAAAGAGCAGAGGTATTGTGTTAATAGAAGAAAAAACAGACTTTTAAGTCAAAATCTGTTAAAAGCGATTATTTGTACAGTGATTATTAAAAGTGGATGTGCCAACAAGTTCTAGGAGTTACAAACAAAAGTATAACAAGCATCAGGGCTCCAAACACTGAAGCAAACTGTCAGAATTAAAGAGGAAACAGATAGTTCTACAGCCATGACAGACCCTTTTACCTCAGCCCCCAGCCGGCTAGTACACATCACAGAAGATGTTTAAGAGGACACCGAAGACAAGTTAGACATGACAGAATGCTTCTCCCAGCAGCCAGCACATAACAAAACGTGTTTGTCTCAAGTACACATGAAGCATTGTCTAGAATAGCCCATATACTAATCTGCAAAAAAAAAAAGCCTTAATACATTTAAAAATTACTTAAAAATTGTTTAGTATTTTGCTTTTCGTTTACAGTAGACTGACAAAGTTATCAGCAGAAAGAAAAACTCAAGTATTCACAAATATCTGGAAATAAAACAACCTACTCAAAACCCCTAACTAGTCAAAGAAGAAATGGCAGAGGAAATACATCTTTGAAATAAATGGAAATACCATTCCAAAACTTATGGGATATAGTGAATAAAAGAGAAGTTTATAGCTATATAAATCCTTACTGAAAAGATTTCAAATCCATTGTTTTACTTCCAAGACCAAAAAAAAAAGAAAGAAAGAAAAAGAAAAGAAAAAAAAAAGAACAAATTAATCCCAAAGTTAGCAAAAAAGGAGAAAATAACATTGTTTTAAAAAGAAATAATAGTAATTTTTTTTCAAGAAACATGAATTGGTTCTTTGAAAATACTGCAAATTTTTATTTTATTTATTTGGTTTTTTTTTTTTTGGGGGGGGTGAGACAGTGTTTCTCTGTATTGCTTTGGAGCCTGTCCTAGAACTAGATCTATAGACCAGGCTGGCCTCAGACTCAGAAGCTGTTAGCTAGATTGACTCAAAAAAATAAAGAGGTAAGGCTCAAATAGGAGAAATCACATGAAAAAGTGACATTTCTGCCTAACCTGCCGAAATCTGATTATCAAAGTGTACTGTGAACAGGTTTATACCAACACATTGAATGGCCTAGAAGAAATTGACAATTCCCTAGAAACATAGAACCTGGCAAAGCTGACTAAGGGAGCTTATGACACATCTGGATATAGAGAGATGAACTCACAGCTGCCACCCACTAAATAGAAGCCAAAAGTTCTGAGTTCTACAAATAAAAAAATTAGCACAACTACTCAAAATTTTCCAAAACATTGATGCCAAAGAATCACTTCATATTTGCAGCATGAATTCTAATTGGTCTTAATAATAAAGACCCAGAGTCTGATATTAGGGGGTGAAATAGAGCAGCCAGCACCTCTAGGAATCCTCAGACTGAAAGAGCTGAGCTCCTATCTCCTGCCCCCTTGTCTCCCTCTCCCCACACAGCCCTGTCACCTCTGGCCTCCACCTCTCTAGAGCTGGGATTAAAGGCATGTGCCTCAGAAGTACTGGGATCAAAGGCATGAGATCCCAAGTTCTTGAATAGAAGGTGTGTGCCATCACTGCCTGGCCTCTCTGGTTAACTAGTGGCTAGTTCTGCACTCTGACCCCCAGGCAAGTTTTATTTGTTAGAGCACAAACAAAACAAAACAATCACCACATATGTTTCTTTCTGTGAGGCCAGCATTGTGTAACATAATTCCAGTGGAACACTCACTCTGCAGGAGAATGACAGACCGGTATCCTTGGACATATTAGTGCAGAAGAATTCAAAGGGAGACACACACTGTATGGTTTTACTGTCACATTGCACAGAGACTGTTATTTGTAGAGAAAGTAGAATGGATGGTAGTGGTGGGAAAATAACCTCAGAAAAGTGCTGGAGGACGTGGCTTCGATCCCACAGCCAATGTAAAACAAAAAGCAAACAAAACCTGAGCATGGAGGAGCTGGCCATCTCTGGGGACATGGAAACAGGTCAGTCCCTGGGGGCTTGCTGGCTAGCCAGCCCAGCCAGATTGGCGAACTCCAGGCCAGTGGAAGACTGCCTCCAAAAAAAGATGGTGTCTAAGGGATGCCTGCAGATGCTGTCACCTCCACACATACTCTCACGTGCTCACATACCAAGTAGGCTGGTGGCTACGAGGTACTGGGGGCAGAGACTAGGGAATTGCTTTTTGGTTGGTAAGGAATTTCAGTTTGAAATGGGGAAGGGCTGTATAGCATAGTGGTTCCAAAGCACTGAACCTACTTTCTGCATTTCAACCTTAAATTTGATATTGTGTGTATTTTATCATGAAAAAAAAAATCAAAAGAGAAAAATGTGAGAGTTTTTTTTAGAATTAAGTACTAGTGAAATCACCATAGATCACATTAATTTATAATTTTAATTTCTTTTAAGAACTTACTTTAGTGTATTAAGTGTTTGCCTGCCTGTATGTGTATATGTGCACTGTGTACATGTGGTCTCCACTGAGGCTAGAAGAGGACTTTGGATCCCCTGGAATTGGAGTTACAGGTGATCGTAGACCAGTTCAATGGCGACTAGGAAATCAATCACTGAGCCACCTCTTTAGCCCTGGTTTTTAAATTAGTTCTTTAGTAAAGACTAAAAGAGAATGAAAAGGACCATAAAATTTAGAAAGAAAACAATCAAACAAACAAAAAAGCAGGAATAAGTTATAGAAGAAATGATCATTAACATGACATAAAATTTAAATTATTAATTAAAAGAATATAATAAATTTTTGAATGGTGTAGGAGCAAACATAAGAGGCAGAAAGGTGCCTAGTGTGATAGCATACACCTTCAGTCCAGCACTCTGGAGGTAGAAGCCAGCCTGGTGGCTTACTAACAAATGTTATTTTCTCTCAGTATTGAACCTTTCATGTACACCTTTGTGCAGATATATTTAGAAAGACAAAGGAACAACAATTACATTTATTATGGGCCAGGTATTCCATGACCTCCACGAATTCTATCATTTAAGTTAATACTCATAGAGGCCAGGTGTAGATGGACTTTTCTGTCCCACAAGCCAGTCCCAAATAAACACACTGAGACTTAGTAGTTATGAGTGCTCAGCCAGTAACTTAGGCTTGTCTCTAGCCAGCTCTTACAAGTTAAATTAACTCTTTTCTGTTCATCTATGTGCTGCCCCAAGGATCTTTTACCTCATCCATGAATTTCCCATGTTGCTGCTTCTGAGTCTGAGTCTGGCTTTTGATTCCCCAGACTCTGTCCTTCTGCCCAGCTATTGGCCAATCAGCTGTTTATTAACATTGAGAGCCACACATTTTCACAGTGTGCAGGAGGATCATCCCACGGATGTCATCCTGTCTCACACTGCAGGGAGCAGAGACAAAGTGTCCTTAGTTACTTTCTGAGGCTCACAGGTTCAGCATCTGATTCTGTGTAGTCAAGTAGAATCTAGAGAAAAACAAAAACCACCCTTTATTTATTTTGTCTTGGAATATTCAGTGTGACTTTTAAACTTTTTATTTGTGTGTGTGTTTGTATATAGATGTGCGTGTGGTATGAATACTTGTTCCTCGGGAATGACACCTTATTTTTGGAGATAGGATCTATCACTAGGCTTGCTGCCCAGCCAGCCTCAGTGATCCTCCTGTGGGGATTGACCTCAGGTCCTCATGTTTGCATGACAAGTACTTTACTGAGTTATCTCCCTAGCTCCTCATTGTGTATTTTTTCATGTATATCCCTATGGCTTACTGTTTATCCCATTTAGTGCACCCCCCCCCCCAACCATCTCCTTCTACTGAGTCTCTAGAAGGACAAAGAGAAATCAAGACATTGACCTGTGCGTCATAAAGCAGTTCCTTTATCTTTTCTCTACATAGTAGAACACCCATCATGTGCAGGTCACTGATGAACCAAGAAGCTGATAAAGCATAGGTACAAATAGCAAGTATTCAAGTTTCACTGTAGAGATTAAAAGGCAAGCACTCAACCAGGCATTCATGGTGCACGCCTTTAATCCCAGCACTCGGGAAGCCAAGGCAGGTGGTTCTCTGTGATTGCAAGGCCAGCCTGGTCTACAGAGCTAGTTCTAGGATAGGGTTCAAAGCCACAGAGAAACCCTGTCTTGAACCCTCCCCCAAAAAAAGCACTGTAATACAAAACACAAAGTAGTGGACTACACACACACACACACACACACACACACACACACACACACACAGAGGGAGAACAGATATTATCTTGGGTCCTTGCCAGATTTTTTATTTAACAGCCCCTCTATTCTCTTCTGTAAAAACAAGCTTTGCAGGACTCAAAAGTCTTCTGTATGAGAGAATACCAAATATTAATAGTATTTATAGTGTTCCCTCAAATTCAAAATACATTTCCCCAAATTGTAGTATTTTTCAAGTATTGTGAGTAGTATCATCTTGTACATTTGCCTCGGGAACTCAATAGGTGTTTAGGGATGCGACTTCATTCAGAGCATCAATGAAGCCTGTCTAAGACTCCTGGGGAGGAACCCATAGGTAACCACTGTGATGAGTCAACATAAAGCAGTGATTAGTATCGGGGTCTGTATCATACCCTGGCATTTTAGGCAACTGAGTGATTCACTCAACGCAGCTCTTAAACCTGCATTTCAATTACTTTTAACAAGCTTTATTTTTATTTTGCTTTTTATTCTTTGGGAGGGGTACTTTTTTTTTACTATTTTTATTTTCACACAGTTTTATTAAAGCATAATTGGCATATATACAGTAAACTTGACATACTTAATGCATACACCTATGAAACCATCACCACAATCAAGATAATGAATGTATCCCCTCCCCCACAGGTTTCCTGGCACCTTTTGTAGTTTGTCCCTTCTGCCCCCTTAGAGTCTTTCATCCCCAAGCAGTTACTAATCTTGTTTTCTGCCATTATGAATCAGTCTGCATTTGGAGGAATCTTACAGAAATTAAATTATTTGGGAATGATCCATTAGGAGGTCCCCTACAACAAAAAAGTAAATTTAGAAAAAGGTTTTGGGCAATGGAAGATGATATTTGTAACAGAAAGTTTTATATACCTTTTCTATAGTATTCTCAGTAACTAGTCTTCTAGTTACTAGATAAAATCATGTAACCGAAACACAGAGTATTAAGAATGTTGTGACCTTCCACTTTTACACATGGAAACAGCCTCTAAAACCTCAGATTGTTTTAGTTGACTTGCTGTTTTTAATTTTCAGAGCATATAGGATTGGACAGTGTAGAGATGTTAAAGTGCTTAGGCTGATATCCTTGGGGACAGTGGAGGAGATCATGTACTTACGACAGGTCTACAAGCAGGTAAGAATATACCTCATTCTAACTTAGAGGTAAACATTTTTCTGTTTTCAGAAGTTAGAAACAAATTTGTATACAGGAGTTTTGAATTTTACTCTAGTATGTAATTTACTAAGGTTAAAAAATATACTCTAAATACACTTGCATGAAATAGAGTAATTGTTAAGTTCATTGGATTTTATTCCTGAAAGTTTCTTAAAGCAATATTTCTTAAACTTTAATGTGCATTTAAGTCACCTAGGGATTTTGTTGACATACAGGTTGGCCTGAGATTCTGCATTTTATTTGTTTGCTTTCTCCTGTGTGCTGTGTGACTTAAGGCGTGTGCCACCGCTGCCCTGGTGACTGCTCCCAGGAATGCCAGTACTCCTGTAGTGTGCTGATCACAATTTAAATAATGTGGCCACACCTCCCACACAGTGAGCCAGGGTGCATTATGTACCATAGGTGAGCTCCAGGTGCCCAGAGGCGTTGATCTCACAACTCACGGCAGGAATGCTTGAACTACCTTCCAGCCTCGTGGGTTGCCATCTTCTGTATGTGCTGAGATGTGCAAAAGATGTGGGTATACCATAGGGAAACGGACTGCAGAGATAGATGCCCAGTAAATGAGATTGTGCAGTTTGACTTGAGCTGCTGCTGCTTGGCTCTCTTTTCATCTGAAACATCATTGGCTCTTTACTATGTGTAGGTTATTAATTTCTGTTCTTTTTATACTTATAAATAAACATTTACTCATTTAGAACTGCTCATTCGAGAAGCTCTGGACTGAGGTTCAAGTTTAATTACAAGTATTAAATTTGAATTGCTCCCTTTATATTTGGCTGGCATCTATTTAAGAACAAACATCTTTCACATGTGGTGGTAGTTAACCTAAAAATGATCCAATCTTAAAACTCATGCTAACTTCTTCATTCTAAAAATAGAATTATGCACAGCAGTTTGTGTATTTTCTTAAATCATTTAGCTCTAAAGGAAACAATTTGGAACTACTTGAGAGAATTTCTTTTCTAGCTTAACCACTTGTGGAAAAAAAAAAAAAAAAAAGAGACTGTTTCTTAAGACTTGTCGTTTTGAGTTCTGTCTTAGACTGGTCATCAAGTTTTGTTTCCTTAATCATGTAAGTTTTCTCAACCTATTATGTGCAGTTTTACTTTTATCTAAAATGGCTTACTATGTACTGTAAATAATATATAATAGAAAATTTTCAGGACACAGTGTCATAATGTTTATAAGGTATAGATCTCATAAGGAAAAGGTATAATACATGATTTAATGATAGTTTGGAATTTGAAACAAGGATGCATATCAGGCATACATACATTGAGCCTCACATTCTTTGGAGAAAAAGAATAAAAACCTAAGAACAAAAAAAATAACTACAAATATGTTGGAACACAGAAAGCTTCTCAAAATCCCAGAAATTATTTAAGGAATCCTTAAAGACAGAAAAGAAAGAAATATCAGCCAAAAAATCAGACAGTCACTACTGTAAAATAAAAGGTTCCTGTGGACTCTTTGGAATATTATGTGTAATAAGGTGGCTTAGCACGTACTCTTCTCATCAGCGCACTATGCAGCCAAGATAGAACAACAGATACTGAAAGCAAACAAGTAAGACAGCTCAAACATTTTGCTGGTGTACACAAGGAAGTCGCTCTCACCACCCAGAAAGCTAAATCCTTGGACAGTCTCTACTCTACTCCAAATAACTGTGGCAGTAGGTTGAGATGAGCATGTATTTAAACACACTATTGTCTAGTTGAAGAAAATGAAGAGCACAACAGTGGGCTGGATTGTAGTTAGCAAATCTTAGTCCCTGGAGCCATATTACTTTATTAAAAAAATGTGCATGAAACTATGAAACTATACCTTTGCATCTTTAATTGAACTGCAAAGTCATCCAGAATGATCCAAGGGGTACTTGGATTTGGGTGTGCACTCTCCCACGCAGTGATTCAAATAGTCCACGGTTTAAAATAACATTTACACATCACCTGTGTTCCTTCAAATTTGAGCACCATATGTAATCAAGTTTGGCATTTTGAAATCTGCCTCCCCTATATGAAGTACATAGGCATACATATGCATATATATATGCAGTGTATTTAGAAAACCTTACAGAAGAATTGGATGAACAGCTCAAAGAATTCCAAACTTGCCTCAATTCCCATTGTGCTAACATTTTTCATGTTTGCTTTATTCTTTTTCTGGGTCATTTCAAATGAGTTACAAACTCACAGAGTTATCATCAGTGTTTATTTCCTGAAAGACCATGTTTAAATTTTACACATTTATATTGCATTATGAAATAGTCAGCAGATAGAGAGTACATCCTTATGGTGATGCTAAAATGTTATATACCCATGTATATCATTAATGGTTCCATTGTTGATGTTCTCAAAGCCCTTGACAATGGTGTCTCTAGGGTTTTCACGGTAGTTGCCAATGTAATTAAATCTGCAGTTAACTTGACATCAACATGCTTTTGTATGGTTACTTTAGATTGTAAATAAGTGATAAACAGTTATGCCAATATTTTTAACATAATAATTTTAAAAGAAGAAAAGTGTATTCAGATGTCAGCTTTCATTATTAAATGTTTATAATAATGTAATTTTGACTCAGTAATTAAAAGACAGATAAAATAGGAAATGTAAGATGCCTGCTCCAGTAAGGTGGCCAGATTATTATTATTTCACCATAATGACAACATCTGCAGGGAAATTAAAACAAAGTCTCCTCCTTAAGGCAATTCAGCCAACCCAACTAAAATTGTGTGTATGCAGGGAGTGCCAGGAAATTCTGACATACTGTTGGAGCAAACACTTGAAAATATCTTGTATTTTTCTGTTATAGCAACTTCACTGTGTAGTGGTTGGAAGTGAGAATGCCAAGCGATACTTTGAAGCAGTACAAGGATCGAAAGAGCATCGGGGAGAGCTCTTCGGTGTCCACAACCTCTTCAAGCTAAGGGCCCAAGGGTCCTGTCTTACCAGAGACATCCTGGAGGTATGGAGCTGGCCTATGACCTCTTCAGGGATGGTTTAATTACAGTTTCATGGTTCAGGAATTTTGAAATACAGTTGGTGTTCCTTTTCAGAGAAAATTTTGGTTTTCCTTAGCAAAAATACCGGCTTAGAATTTCTATTTTTAAAGAGATGGGAAATGAATTGTACCTCAAAGCCAAGCCTTTCTTGTGAATACTTACAGTGTGTATACCCAATCCACGAATGATGTAGTGTGGCCTCCATGGCCATTTTCAGATAGACCAAGTTGAAAGGAGTTTATTATTTTGAAAACAGCTGTTGAAATTGAGAGCTAAAAAAAAAAAAAAAAAAAATTAAGATTTTTCCTAAATAAACAAAACTGTAAAATATGTTTTGATTAGAAGTTACAAAATACTCCCTGAGATGTACTCTTCATGTCTCTTAGAGATTTTTGTTTTCTGTTCCCAATAAAAATTCCACACCAGTATTTCAAACTCTTAGCTATGTTCATGCTCAGCATACAGATGTTTCTTATTCTTCAAATGAGACACTTACATGGCTTTAAAAATTCCTTAAGTTCATTAATTTACCAGAACACTGAGAATATTATCGTGTTTTCCAGCTGATATTAATGTAGTTATCATAAAGCTCTGGTATATCGTCCTTTTTCATCTCCTTATTACATGTGGAAACAGCCAAGGAGAACTCCAGGTTACTTCCCTTGTCTTCTAGGACTTTATAGTAAAATTCTGGACTGTGTTTCATTTAGTAAGCATCATAAATGGAGTTTAAGAAAAATTACTCCCTGTTTTGAGCAGTTTCATCCTTGATGGAGATGGAGAACATTCACACAGGTGGACATGTACTGTCAGTGTTAAAAGTACTGCTTCAGTAGTCATTCGGAATAAGCACTAGTGGGTAGGGAAAGAAGGCCTCTGTTGTATGTGTCCTGCTCTGGAGTGTCTGGTGTTCTGTAGTAACTACTGACTCCAAGTAGCCGAGAAGCCCAATACGGATGGCAAATGTCCTACGGACACAAACTAGAGCACTGTGGTTTTAACACTCAGCATCATGATGCTTGGGTGCTGAGTGTGCTCTTTCTTAATGATGTAAGAGCGGCAGGGTCCCTGGGCAAAGCATGAACTTGTGTGCCTTCCAAGAGTGCTCTCAGTGGAGTTGAACACAGACCCTAGTTTTCTGTACTGTGAAACTGTATGAGTTTCTTACTTAGCAAATGAGAAAGTGTTATTAAGAATACAACGACACACTTAGTCTGCCTTTGCTGTTGTTTTCCTGGTTGCTTCACTCTGTATTTACAGCTGTTTATATTCTTCCTTGTGGACATTATAGAGGGAAGGCCAAGTGGAAGCTGGCATCATGACAGCCACAACGTGGTTGAAAGGGGGACCTTCAGGACAGGAACTAGAAGCCGTGAGTAACCAGACAGCATGGACTGTGGCAATCTTTCTCTTCTTGATTTTTCAGTATGTATAAACAGGAAGTTTTCTAAAAGCTCAGAGACACAAAGTCATAGGGTGAGGAGTGAGACTAATTATTTAAGGTGATCAATGTTCATAAAAACAAATCCAGGAGCACTCACCCTCAAATTAAACACCTTGTATAACTGACCACACCAGACTAAATTTTTTTTTTAACTGAAGGACAAGTTAAATAGAGAAATGACCATCGATGTGTATCTAAGATTAAATCCAAGTATCAAAATCATTCAGTAAAGCAAAACAAGTATTGTATTGGTTTGAGTCTGTGATCTTAAGATCTCATCACACAGCCATGAAACCTACATTGTTACCAGAGGCCAGGTTAGGTGCAAGATACAAGAAACATGCAGAAGATTTTTATGTTGCTATTTTTGCTAATTTTTTGTTTGTGTTTTATGTGTGGTGTTTTTTGTTTGTTTATTTGTTTGATTTTTGGGGTTTTATCTGTTTTTGAGATTTATACTTATGTGAACTGAGTGGCCTTGAACTTGGGGAACTTGTTTTTATTTACCTGTTTTGTGTTCACATCAAGTTGGTTCCTGAGGATCAGGCTTAGGCTGTTACGCTTGGTTTAAGGTACCTCTCCCTCTGAGCCATCTTGCTGGCCCAGGTTGACCTTTTTTTTAAAATGTAGATAAACACAAGTATCAAATATTTGTACACATATTAGATTACTTTCTGAAAATATTAACAAATCAAGCCTCAATTTTAGGGAACTGAAGGTTATTATTAACTTGGGTTACTGTGAAAAGGGAATTTAATTTAAATATGTAGCATGTTGTGTTCTCGAGACAGGGTCTCATGTAGTCAAGACTGGCCTTGAACTCCTTGTGAAGTGGAGAATAGTCTTGAACCCCTCATTGTCCTGACTACCTTCCAGGACCTTTGCTTTCCTCACTGCAGACATGAGCCACGGCACACAGCACACAGCCCTCCCCACGTGTTTCCTAATGTTTTGTCTGCTTTTTTGTGTAGCCTAGAGACCCTGACTGTGAAGAACCCGCAGAGGTTTGTGAACTGTTCCCTGACTTCAGTGATGACGAGTCGGTAGGCTGTCCCCTTGGCGAGACCGCGGAACACAAGGTGTCTGGCTCCAGCAGAGCCCCAGGTTCCTCAGCGCAGCGTACTTTGCTACAGTGTGGATTCTCTAAATTGTTTGAGGCGAATTGTAAGTCAGGACAGGGTGGCGATGGAAATGCTGCCTCTGGTGATGAAAGTTCTGATGAACAGCCCGCATGCCTGTCAACAGAGGCCAAACAGGCTGCTTGTCAGAAAACTCGGGACCCTGTTTGTACTTCAGAACATCGGAAATCAGAGAACATCCAAAATCCTAATGAGAAATGTGGTTTTGATAAAAGTAAGAAGACTTTAGAACAGAACGTTTCTTCTGAATCTGACGATGAGTGGAAGTGTCACAGTACAGCTGGACTTCATGGCATGGGACAGAGTGACACAGAGTCAGAAGACAGCGATGTCATCTTTCCTACACAGTATCCAGCTCATAATAACCGCATACACGTTAAGCTGCTGTTAGGTGGATCTGAAGATTCTGAATCAGAAAACCCCATGAAAATAAATTGTGTTGATGGCAGACAGAACGGTGGCAGAAATGAACGAATTTCAAAACCCTTGAGCCCTGAGAACATGACCTTGAAACCTGTTAGGAAAAGAAAACTTATAGATGATATTAGCGATGAATCTGATGACATTGATATCTTCCCCAAGTCAAGAATAAGAGAGCAAAGAGCTACTACTTCCTTGAAGCTTAAGAGAAAGAAGAAAAGCAAAAAAGAGCTTTATAAGTCTCCTACAACAGGAAAGTATCCAAAACAAGGGTGTGCAACAGATGGGGATTGTAGCTCTCAGGTCATTGAGGATTTTTCATCTTCAGATGACAATTTATCTGTCAGCCACTTGAGTTTCTCTAAACTAAGTCACAGAGCAGAAACTGTAAAAGATGAAATCAGTTTGTTCCCCAAGATGCCTGGCACGGATAAGAAAAATAGCACTTTTATACCAAGGAAAACAGCAAGCTTTTTAAATGAAAGAGTTGCCAGTCAAGAGCAGATGTGTGACTCAATGGATAAAATATTAGGTAACTATAACTATAGACATGCTGCAAACATTTCTCTAAATGACTGTTTTCTGTCGTATGTCCTATGAAATTCTTCATTTAGCTGTAAAATAATTCTAAAATCAAGTTGCGGCATTGATGCAGAAATAACTAAGGATAACGAAGAAGTACTGTGGTGACAGGATAAAGGGAAGGCCACCTGCAGGGGGATAGAGTTCTGCTGTCTCCCCATAAGGTCCCAGCATCCCCGTAATGGCCCACCCTCATCACAGTTTTTCTGTGCCATATAACCAATTAGTTTGACTTGTAGAGTAATCCCCTACGTATATTGTTAAGGTTCTGTCACATGGATGTGTATTCTATGGAGACGTAGTTTAGTCTTGTCCATTTACTTCATGTCATATAGTCCGTGTAATCTGTAAAAACCCATCCTTTCATTGTCCTGTAATTTCCTTAGCGTGTCCGTCAATCTGCATTTTGCTCACTAGTCTCAGCAGTCAGACATGTGCTCTGACCTCTGTCTTATCTGCAAAGGAGTAGCACTGGCAGTGTTCAGTGGTCATAGTATTTGTATGTATGCATGTATAGCTTATGTGCTGTATTTGTAATTATATATCCTAATATGTGTACTGCACATATACTCACCTGTGTATAAATATGTGTGCACATATATTGTATATGGCCATATGTGATGGTGAATATACCCCATTCATGAAAATATATTTATGTTTTCATATTTATAGTGGTACTTAATTAGAAAGTTCTCTCTCATCTCCATTATATTTGAATACTATTTTTTTTAATCTTGATCATTTCTGGTCATATGCACAGAATGATTTAGTTAAACTGTTCCATAACTGCTTATTTGTTTTGTCCCATATTCCACAATAGTGAGAGAATGGGTTGGCTCACGTCTTGCTACAATAAAGGTTGGAGATGTATCCCAAAGGTAGCGCACTCACTTAGATTATTACCAAAGTAGCATCAGCAGAAGCATTCTTTTCTTTCTTTCCATTTTACAATAGATATAACCTTATCTACACTGCCAGAGACATTGGCAGGACTATATACTCTCCCCCTTTGGTTCACTCCCTCGTGGTGTATAGGTAACTAGGAATTCCAGGGTCCCTTCCAGCCTTGTGTCGGTGTCCCTAAATCATTTCTACCATCTGGACTTTGTTTTCTGGTAAACTTTTAAAGACATGTTGCTAAAGAACTTTTTTCTTCTGAAGCTCTTGTGATAATGATTTATGCCCTGAAAGGTAGTTTTGCTGGATATAAAGTCCTTGGCTCACGCTTTGTTGAGAATTTAGTATGAAGCTTCATTTTTATCCCTCCTCCCAATACACAAGAAAATTATTTCCTTTTCATTGTGTCTGGTGCTTATTTTGAGTCAGTATTCTCATATGCAAGTGTAGTTTCCCCTCAGTCTGTCTGTCTGGAACATTTGTGCTGTGGTTTGTTACTTGTTCAAGTCTCTCTTCTTGTTCAGCTGTTCCGTCTTCGTCACTGGTCTTGAGAATTCATCATTGTCTAAAATTATCTCTATCTTTCAGTTTGTTTTCTGTTTTTGTTTTTGTCTTTATCTGTTGCATTTATTACCTCTGAATGTTTTTTCTAGATTTTCACTTACATGGAACATTTTCTTAATGTCTCAGTCTTTTTGAGACATTCCATCACTTGTTTCTAAATTATTCTAATTCTAATTTATATTGTTTTTTGGGGGGGAGGGGAGGCAGGGGTCAATACAGGGTTTCTCTGTGTAGCCCTGGCTGTCCTGGAACTTGCTCTGTAGACCAGGCTGGCCTCAAACTCAGAAATCTGCCTGCCTCTGCCTCCTGAATGTTAGGATTAAAGGCGTGAGTGACCACCGAGGCTTGGCCTGATTTATATTGTTAATTTGTGTCTTTTCTTGGTCTGAAAGTGTCTTACCTTGTTCTGACATGGGTTATGGGTTTTGTCTGTTCTGTGTCACAGATGGTTCTCCCCCCACCCCCGCAATTTTCAGGATTTGACCTAGATAATTCTCTCTTAATCTTTTTTAGGGGGAATCACCCCCTTCTTACTGCTGAGCAGTGCTCTCCTGCTTACTCTGATTGCCCCCCCCCCACACTGCTTCTCTTTGCTGGGCTCTGGCTGGAAAGGAGCACTGGTAACTGGGCCAGTATGGGAATTCATATTATATCGTCAGCTTGCTGCATTCCCCTGAGGCCTTCTTACTGTAAGACCCCTGGTCCCTTCAGCCCTGGTGAGCAGAACCCCTTCTCTCCCAACAAACGCCCGTTGGTTATCCTGGGGCCTCCCGTTCTTAGGTCTGTCATATGCCACACCTTCTTCCATCTTGCTTCCTTCCATAGTACAGAAGTCAATTTTATATAGCAGTGGTTCTCAGCCTTCCTAACACTGCTGCCTTCTAATTCAGTTCCTCATGTTGTGGTTACCCTCAATCATAACATCAGTTTCATTAATACTTCAGAACTCTAATTTTGTTACTGTTATGAATCATAATGTAAATATGTGTATTCTGTGATGGTCTTAGGTGACCCGTGTGAAAGGGCCACCCCCCCCCCAAGATGTTGTGACCCCGTAGATTGAGAACCACTGCTATATGATTTTGCTATGGCAGATTGACTCCGCTTAATTGAGGGCTCATGGGGGGTGTCTTGCCATCTAATTTTGTTTTCATGTGTCCATAGGTGTTCACTTTTGTTGTGTAGTTGCTGTTTGATTTCACCTGGGAATTCAGAGGGAATGAACAAACTCTGTTCAGAACCTGCTTAGTGCTTATGAGTTAGCATAGCTGTAGGAGTCTCTTACTTATTCCCCATAGGAAGAAAGTTGAAACAAGGGGCTGTAGGCACCGTAATTGTTAGCTTGTATTTGCTTACACACTAGGCTTTCTTTTACAGATAAGACTCACTTAAAATTTTCCTACTATGTATATTTTGGTACCATTATTAACCCAGTACAGGATTATCAATTACAAATGCTTTTAAAAAATAATTGATTATTTGAGGTTTTTAACTGTAGCTGTCAGCATCAGAGTGAGTGGTATTTTGCTTTGCATATAGATGTTTTCCTGGTAACTTTTAATTAATGGTGCAGCAGTGTCTTATGTTCTGTGCTTGATGGTTGCTGGAGGGTTCAGGGCTAAAACAGCAGAGTGTTGAGGTCACAGTTGAGGTTCATTGCCAGAGCTGTTTGAGGGACATTTTGCAGGCCTTAGTCCTAGCCTCCTCTTTTATGACCGCAATTTCAAAATAAATTATTAGAGCCTAGAAGCAAAGCAGTTAAAGAAAATACAGCCACTTTTAAAACCTCTTTCAGATAAAAAGCTATGAATTAAATTTTTTTTTCCATTTCCTAAAAAGCTCTCATCTTGACATTCTCTGGGCATGTGTACAGAAAAATACAAAATACAAACAATAAAGTTGAACACTGCCAACCAAACACAACTCCCTGGTCGTAAACCCCTGCCCCCGCCATCTCAGCCTTCAAGTACTTTCTTAAAGGAGCAGATAAGCCTAGAGCACCCCCCCTCAAAATTGCAATCAACTCGAAATTAACAAAGAAGAAAAATTTATAGAGGACCATTAACCATGATTCTCAAAGACAAAAATCTCCATTTGAGATTTAAATTTAAAAATTGTTACTTAATCTCAGCAGTTCTCAAAATGATGAAAATAGAAAGTCATTTCCAAGTTAGCCTGGACCAACGTATTTGAACTCCTTTTCAGTTTACTTTTTTAAATATTATGACAGTAATGTAATTTTTTTAAAGATTAAAAATAAAACAAGCAGTTAGGCATAGTTGCTTATATGTATAACTTCAACAATACTCAGGAGGCTGAGATAGGAGAATTGCCATGGGTTCTAGGCAATCCTGAGCTACAGCATGAGCTCCTGTCTCAAGAAAACAACAAAGATAAAAAGTAAAGCAAACATAGCCAGGTGTGGGGGTTGCACACCTTTAACCCTAGCACTGGGAAGTCAAGGGCAGGACTAACGGTGAGTTTGAGACCAGCCTGGTCTATGTAGTGAGTTTAGGACAACCAGGGCTACAAAGTAAGGCACTGTCTCATAGAGAGGGAAGGAAGCAAGCAAGCAAGCAAGCAAGCAAGTAAGCATATATCTAGGAAGCTAAGGCAGAAGAATCACAAGTTTGAAACTGACCTACGTAGCAAGTCGGCTATGTAGCAAGACTTCTGAGAAACTAGAGGAAATAACAAAGCAGGTATACCCTGCTCTTAGTGTGCTGTTGACAGTTATAGCAGTATTGATTCGTGGTATTGAATCATGAAATAAACATTGTTGTCTCCTAGGTGGTGTTCAGGAAGTGGCTTATATCCACTCAAATCAGAATGTGATCGGATCAAGCAGAGCTGAGAACCACATGAGCCGATGGGCAACACGGGACGTGTTTGAGTTGAAACAGTTTTCCCAGCTCCCTGCTAATGTAGCTGTTTGCAGTTCTAAGGTAAGAGAATTTAGTCATCTCACTTTTCCCCAAAGTTTCTCAACAGGATCCTTTCATGCCCTCAGAAGTAGCTGTTGATTTTTTTTTTTTTTTTTTTTTTTTAAGAGACATACAACTAAGTGTGGAAAGTCTGTATAGCATTATAATAGTTACAGTCACAGAAGATGTTTGGGATTTGTGGTAGCTTGAATAAGAATGGGCCTCGTCGACTCATATGTTTGAGTATTTGGTCCCCAGTTGGTGGAACTATTTGGGAAGGATTAGGGGTGCAACCTTCCTTGTTGTAGGAGGTGTGTCACTGTGGGCAGGCTCTGAGGTTTCAAAAGACCCTCAGCTACTGCTCCAGCACATGCCTGCTTGCCTTCCTGCCTGCTACCAGGCTCCCTGCCATGATGGTCGTGAATTTTAACCCTCTGAAACTCTAATCCCCAAATAAATTCCTCTTCTTCTTATAAATTGCCTTTATCGTGGTATTTTATCATAGCAATAGAAAAGTAAATATGACAAATTAAATGACAAATCTAATTTAAAATAAATGCCCAGTAATACTGAGTTGACTGTTTCCCTTTTTAAAAAATGTTACTATGTCCCCAAATTCAAAACAACCTGAAAGAATTGCACAAATCAAATCATAATCCCAAACTACTTCTGCAGAAGTTTTCTTCAGTTTTGTTTGTTTGTTTGTTTAATCTAAAAACCATAGGATGGCCTCATATAGGCTTTTATGAAGGATTTTCATAATGCTAAAGTAATAAATCCTGTGGATTTTTCCTGCTTAAGATTGCTGCTGGATGGAAATAAAGCCTTACATAAATGTAAATGTAATTTTTTTTTGTTTATACTGGTCATTTTCATCAAAAGTTTTTAAAAATGGTTTCATTGGTGTCTTCATCTAAAACCTTAATGTTTAATGTTTTATGGTTGGAGCTAAAAGTACATGTTGCATATAACAATGATATAACATAGTGCTGCTTTTAAGAATGAAGCTGAGGGAAATCCCTCTGAACTTTCCAACTGTCTTTAGATTGTCTTAACAATAAAACCAGAATGTAAAGTAAAACTCATGACCAGAGAAATGTGAATTTAAAAAATTATGACTGGATGAAGGATGGACTTCAGATAGATAGGTCAATATATTCTACCTAGATACCTCACTGACATGACAGTTGTGAGCTTTCCAATGGGTAGAACAAAGGAAATAACCAATAATGTCTCAGTTAGAGCTTAGATTACACATTAACCAGATGCTGGACAGGCACAAATGACTGTGTTGGCTGAGTGGAATGGAGGGAATTCACATGTAAAACAAGAGAGAGAGAGAGGAAGAGAGGGAGGGAGGGAGGGAGAAAATAAAAAAGTTGTACTCCAAAGAATCACTGAGCATAGGACTGAGGGAAAACTGCAGAAACAAAAGAATACAGGTTTTAGGAGAATCATATAATTTGAAGGATATGTGTCATCTGAGATTTATGTGTGTATGGATGTGTGGTGTACTAGTGTGCATGTGTGAATATAGGCCAGAGGTCTGCATAAAGTGCCTTCTTCGGTCTTCTCCATCTTATTTTTTGAAATGGTATCTCTGGCCCTGGAGCTCATGGATCCTGCTTGTCTGTCTGGCCACTTTTTCCTGACTCCTTCCCTTTTCCCCCAAGTATTGGAATTGCAGACACCGGTCACAGGGCCTGGTTCGCAGTGGGCTCTGGTGATCCAAATGCAAGTCACCATGCTTGCACAGCAGGCGCTTTACTGACCCGTCTCCCCAACTCCTCACCTGGGACTTTTTTAATGGAGGGTGGAGGGAACGAAATGATCTAGGAAAGAGTCTGCCGTGCTACAATATTTAGGGTAAAAATAGTGGTGGACCTTAAAAGGGCACAGTTTAATGTACGAATTGAAGTTTTTAAGCATGAGATACTGTTTCTTTGCCTTCTCATTATCCTCTTGTTTCCCCCTCTCCTTTTTAATAGCTTCCTCTATTTACATATTCCCTTTCCTGTGTCCTTATTATTTACTTGTATTTTAATTTTATTTAATTTCTCCATACAAGAGAAAACACGTAGCGTTTGTCTCTTAGGCTTATTTTGCTTCACATAGTAATAATCCTCTTCCGCCCATTTTCCTGCAAGGAACATAATTTCATTCTTCTTCGTGATAGAACTTAAAAAATGCCTTTGTGTATATATACTTTATTTTCTTTACGCATTGAATTAATGCATCTGTGCTGGTTCCTATAATTGGCTATTGAAGATAGTACTGCAGTAAACATGGATAGTCACATATCTGTGTAGTGTACTAACAGTAGTAAGAGTTAATGAGGTAATTTTCCTAGATGTTGGTGACAAGGAGAAAGACACAGTTAACACAGGTCACCTAGACGTGGGCTTGAGAAGCATGTCCCACATGTAGGCACAACAAGCAGCCTCTTCGGAACCATCTTTAAGGAAGTCATAAAAGCAGAAGTACACTTCCCTCTAGCCTGTTTTATCCTCAACGTTTTAGAGTGAACAGCACAATCTCATTTGAAAGCCTTTCTCTTCATACGGTTTTCACAGTGAGGTACATCTCTTACCATAAAAGAGGCAGGATATCTATCCCCTGAGGTTTCGTTTTTTAATTCTTTTAAACTTTTCATACAATATATTTTGGTCACATTCTTTCCTCTCCCCAACTCATCCCAGGTCCCTCCCTCTCAATCCACTCTACTTCAGATGGTTTTTCTCTCTTTAAAAAAAGGCCAAACCAAGCAAGCGTGCTCTCGAATATACATGTGCGCCCGTGCGTGCGTGTGCGCGCGCACGCACACATACACACACACACACACACACACACACACACACACACACACACACCTCACACTCAATAGGCCACAGAGTTTGTTTTGTGTTGGCTAACTTGGTGTCATTCCTGTGATGAAAACTGATTTCCATTCTCCCAGCCGCTATCAATGACACATTGCTTCTCTGTTGGTGGTTTGAATAGGAATGACCCGAGTAGGCACATGTATATGGATGCTTGGTCATTGGGGAATGGAACTGTTTGACAGGAATCAGGAGGCATGGTCTTGTTAGAGGAAGTGCGTCACTGGAGTTGGGCTTTGAGGTTTTAGAAGCCCAAGCCAGGCCGTGTGCCTCACACTCTGTCTGCTCCTGCAGACTCGAATGTAGCTAGAACTCCCAGTTCCTCCAGCACCATGTCTGCCTATGTGCCACCACACTGATAATCGCTAACTCTGGAAATGAAAGCCACCCCAATTAAATGCTTTCCTTTATTTTTTATTAGAGTTGCCATGGTCATGGTGTCTCTTCACTGACTAAGGCAGGGGTGGGAACTTCCTTCTCAGTGCTGGGTCTTCCGGGCTTGAGTATCTGTTCATTCCACATTCAGCATTCAGCTTAGAGGACACTTTTTTTTTTTCAGGGAATATGATTAAATCTGCTATTTAATGGCTAAACTATGGTATGTGTGAAGACTGGGAAAAGCTTTAAAAGAGTTGACCAGGGCCTTGGTGAGTAAGAAAGCTTGCTACAAGCAAAGCATGAGGACCTGAGTAAGCTTCAGTCCCCAGCATCCATGTGAAAAGCTGGGCGTAGACACTAGCAGCTAACTCCAGCCCCAGTGAAAACAGATAGCTCCAGGTTCATTAACAATTCCTCCCTGTGAGGATAAGGCAAGAGAGCAGTAGGGCACCCGCTGTCTCCTAGCCTCTGCCATGTACAAACCCATGTGCGTACACACATACCCCAAACTGTGGGTCAGGAGGGTCCACCCATGCCACCAATGCTAGAGGGCCAGGAACAGTCATTGCTATAAGTGACTTCTTTATATTAGTACTCAATGCAGCAAAAGTCCTTCTAGCTTTGTCAAAGCCATCTCACAGGATTTCTGTGGAAGGAGTGATTACAGCCACTGATTTCATCATACAGGGCACTATTTAAGATCTTTAATGAGGAAATTATTAATACTCACATCTTTGGTAAGATATTTCTATCACTCACCTGTGTAGAGATGGGTAGCAAGAGTGAACTTGAAGTTTCAAAAAAGTTGAATAGCTATTGGGGAAAAGGAGAATGAACAAGAAAAAAGGAAATAGGGTGGGCAGTGGTGGTGCACACTTTTAATCCCAGAACTTGGGAGGCAGAAGCAGCCAGATCTCTGAGTTGGAGGCCAGCCTGTTCTATAAAGCAAGTTCTAGGACAACCAGAACTACACAGAGAGACCCTGTCTCAAAACAAAACAAAAAACAACACAATCACAAACAAAAAGAGGAGGAGAAGAGGAAGAACAAGAAGAAGAAAGGAAGGAAGACCAGAAGAGATAACATCACAGTCCCAGGAAATACCTGGAGCTAAATAAACATAGTGGTGCACGCCTTTAATCCTAGCACTTGGGAGGCAGTGGTAGGTCTGTGTAGCCAGCCTGGTCTACAGAGTGAGTTGTGGTGATTTTGTTTATGATCTGGTAAACAAACCTTGCCTAAAGGTCAGAGTGCACATGCGCTAGCCACACTAGTTATCCATAGAGGACAGACAGTGGTGGCCACACCTTTAATCCAGTATTCTGGAGACAGAGGCAGACAGATCTCTGTGAGTTCCAGGCCACCCTGGGCCACATGAGATTGAATCTGTCTAAAAGAGAAACAACTCGCATAAAGGTGATCCCTGTTGACAGGGTTTCCGTTCTGCCTGGTCCCATAGCCCCAAATAAATACATAGAGGATTACGTTAATTATAAATTGTTTGGAGTAGCTCAGGTTTCTTATTGGCTAGCTCTCTCTTAGTTATTAACATAACTATTAATCTGTGTATTTCTACATGGCCTTATTTTACTGGAGAATGCCCGGACCTGTTACTCCTTCAGCAGCTACTTGGCGTCTCCCTGGTTGCTTCTTCTCTCTGTCTCTTCTTCCCAGCATTCTCCTTGTCTGTCAACCTCGCCTATACTTTCCGCCAGGCCACTGGCCAATCAGTGTTTTATTCATCAACCAATAAGAGAAACATATA